CAGCCCGTCGATTAATCTGACCAACCATATTCACACGCCACAGTGACTCCACGTCAATAACACTGATGTCAAAGACACTTCACCCCTTGGATTATCGCCTGCTATCTTTGTGGGGGAAACGCATGCTAGTGTCGATTCTGGCTTGGCCAAATCCCTTCCTCGTATATCAACGATCATCAATTCTTCCATGAGGCCATTTCCAGTGTTCATTTGTGCCGAAGAATTGACCTCTGTTTTTACCCGACTACTTGTATCCAGAAATGGGAGACAAGATCCAATCGTCGAAATTCGACGACACAAACGTGCCTGATGCAGCAGAAGTGGCCGAAGGCAAGGCCTACGGCGCAGCAGAGACGCTTGGACCCGAAGAAGAGAAGAAATTGGTGCGCAAGATAGATTTGCAGTATGCAGTCCCAGAATATGACTTACATCCACATGCTGACGATGCCAGTCTCATGCCGCTTCTGATCATAAGCTATGGCCTTCAGTATCTAGATAGTGAGTCATCCCGATCGTGACTTGCTGTGGAACGACTGTCGAAGCTGATACTGGACAGAAACAAGCTTGTCGTATAGCGCCATCCTGGGACTCAAAAGCGACTTAGTACGTGTGGCGATGGGTGCGGTGCGAATTGATGGCTGACTGTCTCAGCACCTCGTCGGACAAGAATACAGCTGGACGTCGAGTATTTTCTACATCGGGTATCTCGTCGCCTCATACCCAATCTCACTGGGATTCGTCAAATTTCCCCTTGGAAAATACCTCAGCATCCTGATGTATGTCCTTCATCCCTAATCGTCGCCTAGTATAGATTCTGACCAAGCAATAGCTTCTGCTGGGGTATCGTCCTGACACTCCATGCCTGTGCCCAAGATTACGCCGGGCTCATGGTTCTCCGGACGTTCCTGGGTATCTTCGAGAGTGCCATCAGCCCAGGCTTCTCCTTGATCACGGGAATGTGGTACACACCCCCCGAGCACATGTCCCGTCATTCATTCTGGTTCGCGGGCAATGCAACAGCCAGCATTATTGGAAGCATGATTGCTTATGGAATCCTGCATTACACCGGTGACTTCGCCAAGTGGAAGGTATATTACCCCCTTCGCTTCCTCTTTTCCAGCCGCTGACCCAGGGATTCGAATAGATGCTCTTCCTCATTTTCGGCCTCATCACTGTCGCATGGTCCATCTTCCTGTGGTTCTACCTACCAGACAGCCCAGATACCGCGCGCTTCCTGACAGCCACGGAACGCGAGTTCGCCTCCCTGCGCCCCAAAAAATTCCAACGCACAACCCAAACCAAGCACGTCGACAAGAGACAATTACTGGAGACCCTGACCGACCCGAAATCGTGGTGGTTCCTGATCTTCAGCTTCGTAACCTGCGTCCCCAACGGCGGAACTACAAGCGTACCTTTCCCCTTCTCCTGACTCTTACCTCATACCCTCTACCCTCCACCCAAAACTAACCTCCCCCCCCCCCCCTTTTGGGTGAAAAACAGTTCTCAACCCTCATCATCAACGGCTTCGGCTACTCGGAATCCCAAACCATCCTAATGGGCCTGCCCGCCTCCGCCTTCCAACTGACGACCGTCATCCTCGTCGCCGTGATCACCTCCACCGTCCGGAAATCTCGCCTCTTCGCCCTAGTCGGCGTGTACCTGATGGCGTTGGCGGGGATCCTGATGATCAAGCTCCTCCCCGAGGACCGCAAACTGTCCCGGCTAGCGGGGTTTTGGCTCGTGACCGCCATCGCCCCCTCGTTCCCGTTGATGCTGAGTCTCTTTGCCTCGAACACGGCGGGCTTCACCAAGAAGTCGACGGTGCTGGCGATGATCTTCGTCGGGTACTGCGTGGGGAACATGGTCGGGCCGCAGTTTTTCATTAGTGCGGAGGCGCCGGGGTACCATGTAAGTCTCTCTGGAAATATCTCTTTGGGTTGGGATGGGGGATTCGAGCGGGTATGGGGCTAATACTTGGTGGTCATAGACGGCGTATACGACGATCCTCATCTGCTTCGTGATCACGATTGGGTTGGCCGGGGTGTTGAGGGTGTATCTGGCGTGGGAGAATCGGAAGCGGGATCGCGAACAAGGCGTGCATGTGCGGGCGGAGGAGGTGCGGCGGGTCGTGCTCGGGGAGGAGGACGGGTTGGAGATGGTGGATGAGACGGATATCCAGAATCGGAGTTTTCGGTATATCTTGTAGGGCCTTGATCGGGGTGAGTGGGCAGGAGAGACAGTGTGGGAGGGTGAAATTGGCGTGTTCAAGTCACTCAAAAGTAAGGTTGTACCGGCGAGGAACAAATGTGGTGATGCTTCACATCTCGTATAGGACACTGTTGTTGCGGCGTCTGCTTGCCGGGTGGCTGGTTGCTTTTCAATCTGTAGGGTCCACCATTACAGAGATATCTCCTTTGATCGTATGCGATCTTTGGCTTGCTCAAAGTATACTCTAATTTTGCCTGATTATATACCCTTGATAAGAACACGTAGCGGTGATTTATTAAATCTTGACCCATTCGAATAAAGTGCGCTTGCGATGGAGAAAGCATGGTACAAGGCTCCTGAACAACTCCTGTAGACGAATCTTGGAATCCTGATCTGCAAGTAGTGACGTGATCAAGAAGGCTTTGGAATCGATTCGCACATTGCTTTTACTAAGTAAATGCCTGCCAGAATACATTCCTATGTGCGTTTACAACTTGAAAATCCACATGTTTTATATTCACCCTTGCCAGGAAAATCCTAGTAGTGCCACATAGAGAGATGGCTCTTTGCGTTTAGGAAACAAAACCGGATGGGGACAGAAAATCTTCAGAACGACTGAAGAAATCTGACTATAATCAGCACTATTAAGCTACGATGTCTAGTTGCTTGACCCAAGAGCTGACCCCCGGGGTTGAGCTCCCGGGAGTTGTCGAGTCGTTGTATGACCAACAATGACCCTACCATGAAACAAATATCTCGCCGGCTGTAAAGCCATCTGCAGTCTGTGCAGGACCTTTTTTTAACTCGCCCTTCAACTGCAACAACTGAGGCAGCAGATTGAGAAACACCAACTTATCTTGTTCATGATGACATTTCAACTCTTCCTCGCCATGTGTGTTGCACTTCGCTCGTTGTTAAATGTTTTACATCACAGAACTATCCTCCGCAATACTCAGCCACTCTGGATCCCCGAGCAACCGATTACCACTAGATGTGAAGAGCCCGATACTACAGCTGCTCGGCAGCTCTGAAGTGGATATATGTACAGGGAGATCCGTTGTCTGGAAGCACCGTGTGGACAGTTTCTCGTCAGCCAAGCCCGAGACGAATTCGCGTCTCGGAAAAGCCTCTAGCACCTTGTCCAGTCACACTGAAGTCGCCGCACCGGAGGGTGATTTGCGGTGCAGAAATCAAAGGACCGTTAGTCAAATCGAGAAGGCCGATGCAACGTGAATTCCTCCAGCTCAATAGTGTTGACCAGAATTGGTGAATCGTGGTACAAACTGCCTCGGCTGCTTGAGACGAATGTAGAGGGTGTCGAGCCAGATGCGCCCGTCACAGAGCTTGGTCTCGACTCACTCATTGCAGAAGAGCCTCTGCAACTGGACCGACAGACTCGCGAGATTCAAATGATTGAAGGCAAACTCTCTTAGAAGGGTGGCATGAACGCCGATGGAGCGGAAAGGCTGAGTGGGATTGTCAGGCGGGGAAGTAGATCTGCGACAGGGGAATGTGGGTTGCAAATAGAGGTATAGAGATTTGTATCGCCACGAACACTAGATAATTGCATTTCGCAATCGATCTTGGTTTCAGAAAAGAAAATCGGGCGCTGAGACAAGAGTTGCATTGTAACATGCTTGAGATCTGCATGCAGTTTGACCCGAAAACAAAAGAGTTTGCAGGGGACGGTGGCTGACGATGGTCCTTGACCCAATGGACACTGTGAACAGCAGTAGCTGAGGGCTAGAGACAATGAATTGTCCTGGCTTTCCTTATGGTGACTTGATTCATTTGCAGCCCTGCAAAGCTCGGCGCTAAGAGCTGTGGGATCAGCGGAAACTGCTCCCGGCAGCTACGGACAAGAGGGCTTGCCAGTCATCTTGCTTTTGGCAATCTTCATCTCCTCTATATGTGTGATTCGGAGAAGTGCAGCACGCGCTATCCGATAGGTAGGGACAAATACCAGCCAGCCGGGTCCGAGAACAAATGCACTCACATAAAGAGTTTGTCCCAGGTCGATTTTCCAGGAAATATCAGGGTCTATGTACGTGATCAGGAGTCGTGCATCGGATCGTTTCTTTTTCTGGAAAGATATGATGCAGTGGCGTCCCGACTTGATGAAGATACATGAATACTCAGTAGCTGAAGACTGGGGGGCCTTATGAATAGAAAACCTTGGGCAGGCCAATCATGCAGCGTAGATATTGCATCTCCTCATCACACAATGTATATTTGCTTTTGCCGTTTCGGAGGTCCGATCTCGATCCCACGTGCGAACCAATGAAAAAACAGGGACTCGGAACGCAAAAATGGAGCCATCGGATCCTTCAGCTGGGTGGGTAGGCGCGTATGTGCGTATGCAGGTGTAGGTGCTCATATGCATACATACTTACTTGCAGTCGCACTCCCATGGATATTCATACATTTGTAGGCAACCAGTGTGAGCCCCGGCTGTCGGTGCAGCACCCCGGCAGATCATCCAGAGATTAGAGCTGGTGTGATGAGATTACAAATGGTATGTCTGTGTGACCAATCGATTGCGAATATCTATAATCTTGGGGGCTTCACGTACGCCACCATCACGCCGGCTACTCACACTCAGAAATCAAGCCTGATCAGATCGCGCGCCCTCATTGGCCTTATGTCATTGCATGAACCAAGTCCACCTCTCAGCAGGGATGTAGATGCAATCCCTGCAGCTCGTTTGCTCAAGTTTCAAGAAGCACTCGTCCATAAATATTCGACAAGCAAACCAAACGAAAATGTCGTGAATTGGATACCTGGTATTCAGCATGGATAGCGTCCAGAAAGGTCTCTCTGATGTATCTACCGAGAGTCCCCAGCTTACCCTCGAACATATCTTGTCGGCGGAACCCATCACAAACCATCTGGACATCTTGACAAACATCCTCCGACAAGGAGCAACTGTTGATGAACGGGTAGGTGCATTGATTCACGCAGCTTGGGAGCATGTCCGTCGCGAGGAGCTGTGGTCCAGCCGATTCGACAGTCTGGATCAGTATCGCCAATTCATCGGCTTTGAAGAGCTTGTCAAGCCAGTCTTGCGCCGGCATAAGCGATCTGACCGCTCCAAGCAGCTCAGTGCTCGCATGATTGCGCAGCACTGGGACGGCCCTTTTCACCTGGTCCTACCCGAGACTTTGCGACCTCCGTTTTGGAGCAAACACCTGCTCAACTCGCTTGCGTCGCTCAGCCGACTCAAACCACTCCCTGAAGCCATTCATCTGCTCCAGGAAAGTGTGAAAAGGCGACCGCGCAGGGGCCGAACACAACCCCATCTTCTGGCAAGTGACATTGAACGAGTCCTCGAGGCTATGCGGGTCCCGCGCCAGGGCAGGCGAGGCAGGAAAAGTAAGTCGTCCGTGTTCCAGCCACCGCAACTGAGACCAGAACAACTAACAGTTCCTGAAAGATTCCGTCATTTCAATTGACTCCATTCTCACCGAGCATGAGAGCTCGACTGCAACCCTGGTCGCATCAGACAGCCATGAGGACGGAGCCTCGCCCCAAGGATCATCAGCGATGCTCTCGGAGAGGTCCCTTTTGGATGATCAGAAACAATGTCCCTGCTCGCCTCTGTTATTCCCACTCCTAGCCATTCTGGCCGAGAGCAAGGCTCAATGGACCTCGTATTTCCTGGGTAGGTTACTCCAGTGGGCGAGTCTGATGTCGTGGGAAAGCCTCTGCACGGATCACTTACAACAGCTATATCGCCATGCGACCCAGTCAGATGGACAAGATCTAGATCGGTCTCTGATAGTTCAGACTCTTGAGCAACTTTCAATCACCCTCACCGACGAGGAGACGAGCATGCCCGACGACTCCCCCAGTTCGATACCGACTGGCGATCGCGAAAAGCCGATACCCAACGCATTCAAGAGTTTTGTGAAGGACGAACCGTCACTGTGGTCATCGCTCCAGCAAAATGGATATCTTCATATTCCAGGTTTCTTTGCGTACATGGAAACGCGCGGCATCTTCCTACGGGTGCGCCAGACTTTAGCGCGATACGCCTCCGACGACCAGGGCCAGGTTCTCAGTCAAAAGTGCTATCAATTTCTCCATCAAATGATCCAACAAGACCCCGCGTACTACGCGGTTGTCGCATCCTGTCGTCCGGATGGGCAGTGGAGATTACTCAATCGGTCGATGGACTCTGTTTCTCTCTCAGTAGCGGGCGCAATGCTTTCTATACCAGGGTCAGTCCAGCGAGACAGTGATATCCAAAGTACAGTCATGCTGCCTACCTTCTGCGAAGAACACTGCGTGAATCTCGTGCCGGGCTCCCACACCATGCTTGCGCCATCCCACAAGAATGAGCACCCACCAACAGGTGTGATGGTGATAGGGAAGCCAAGCTCCATCCGAATGCAACCGGGAGATCTGCTCCTCACCATGCCACATCTGCTCCGCTTCCCACAAACCTTTACCTCTCATGCGTTAGTGAACCTATCCCAGGATGCGGCGGACCTTCAGGGACATCCACCAGGATGGAATCATCAGCGCTTCACGTCGGCCCAACCTCAGCTCTCCAATGCTCCGGTGACAGACGAATGTAGCGTCGATACCGTCTCCGCGATCGGCGAAGCCCTCATGGGCCGTCGCGCCTGGAGCGACCGCAAGGTTCTGCATCAGCAGAGAATTCTCTCCGGCACGGACACGGCAGCTGCAACGAGCTTTGTGGATAAGGTTCGCGAGAGACTTGTCTTGGAGTTTCACGAGGCCCTGGATATCGTGGAGATCAGCCACGCCGAGTCGGCTGCTGCGCTGGCTCCTGATCTTGTATTCAACAATGTCTCCACGGAGACTGAATGGGCGGCCACGGAGCTGGGGATGAGCACTCTGCTGCAGGTGGACACACCCTGGCTGCCCGAGTCGTTTGATCACATGAGTCTGCAGGATCTGGGGCTTGACACCCTTGGAGAGATCGATCTCTTGCCAACTCTAGATTAGTGCTTGACAGGGTATGTGCGTGTATATATCATTATCAGGGTACCCTGGTATTGTGGTGGGCTCTGTGATACTTCCCTTCCCCCCCCCCTCGGGGGCTGTACAAATGCGTACCTACTACTAGCAAGACGCACTTCTCGCGAGCTTTGTATTGGGAATTTTTTCTGTGACTTACAAGATGAGAAATGCTGTCTACAAACTGGTAAGCTAGCCGTGTACTGAGCCATGTTATGTTGTTTTTATAGAAGAAGATAGATGATAACATCAAATGCATTGCCCGACTGAGCTTGTCTTCACTACATCTATCGCTTGGAAGACTTGATAGTAGGATAAGGGAAAAGGAGGGGGCCGACCCCCATGACTATGGACTACCTTCATGGTGGGATTGTGTTAAACAAAGTAAACGTGCAGTTACCCCAATCCATACTGAGCCTGAAGGACTCACTTATCTCGGCCATGAATCTTCGACAAATATAACTCAAACATGCCTCGCACCAGCCCCTCGCTCTCATCCATCGCCGCGATCTTTTCGACAATGCCCTCGTACGACTCAGTCGCCAGATCTGCATAGACCTTTTGCATCCCAATTCCATCAAACAACGCCTTCACCTGCTCTACATCCCCATTACTATATGCCTCCTCCAGCAGACCTCGCTCCTCGGAGCTACACCGCTGGAGTGCTTCCGTGATCACCCACGCGCATTTCTTCTCGTGCACGTCCGTGCCAACCTTCCCGGTTGTTGCCGGATCCCCATAGACATCCAGGTAATCGTCCGTGATCTGGAAATAGACCCCCAGCTGCAGCGAGATGTCTTTCGCGTAGGCCATGTTCTTCGGCGTCGAGAGCCGCAGGTAGTACAGCGTGAATACGATGGGGAAGTGAACTGTGTAGTAGGCTGTCTTGTTCGTGATGATGAAGCGGTACGTCTCGGGCGTGAAGTGATGGAAGGCCCGGAAGGTGGTTTTAGCGATGTGGACGTCGGTCAGCTGGCCCAGGTCGGTGTGGAAACTCATCGCATCCAGCAGATGCACCATGTCCAGGTACTGGGGGTGCTGCTCGAAGCGCGCGCGCAGCAAGTGCCGCACGCACGACCTCACCATGCAGGCATCCGCGATGGCGCTCATGCCGATGCTCGGTTGCAGATAGCGGCACAGCCCCGTCCGCCGGAAGATGGAGGCGTCCATGATGTCGTCTTCGATCAGGTATGCCGCGTGGAGGAGCTCGATGATCCATCCGATCACGGCGAGATCGGAGGCCTGGGTCGGGGTGAGTCGGCCGGGCAGGAGCCGCCGGCCGGCTTCCAGTGGCATCAGCCCGCGCGTCAACTTGCCTCCTTTCGTGACATCTGCGAGACACTGCGACACTGTAAGCTGCTGCGCTGGGCCCGCAGGATAGACATGGTAGGGCTTTTTGTTCTTACCTGGTGTAGACGGACTAGTACTGTTTCTGGGGTTCCGAGGCGAGAGAGGTATTCTCGTATCTCTGTGAGGAGGGTATGGTATGCTCCATGAAAGTCCTCCACAGTCAGCGCTTCGCCGGCTTCCCCGGGGACTCCTTGAGTCTGAACAGGCTGCTCGGTAGGCGGTTCCACTGATGAGCTGTTCATCCTTACCGTGTCAAAGCGGTACCACCACAGATCAGATTCGAAGACGGTTCGCTGAGCCTTATGGTGCTTGGTGGTGTTTGGACAATCGGGATCGGTTTCTTGCTGATATTTGTAGAAAGGAGTCTGATTCCTCAAGAACATAGCAAGCTGACTGATTTTGTACTACAGATGACATGGTGGGGCTTTCCCACCCCCGGGAGATGCGAACTCCATGCATGTAACATGTCCCGGGACACCGGAACGGTGACCGCGCTTAACCCTACAATCGCTCTTTAGTGTCAGTCCTCCACACAAGAACACTTAGTCTGTGCGTATATTGTAACACATTCATTCCATGCTTTTCGCGGCCCGACACCTCGATCGCCAAGCTACTCACCGCTCGACATGCCCATGTTGAAAGTTCCACGCAGATAGCTTCACATAGTCTGACTACATCACTTTCCACATGCTCAACACATGCTACATCCAGCTGTCCTAAAACTTACTTCTACTGGGACCACACGGTGCTCCAACTGTCGAAAATGAGTTCTTCTTCTATCGATCAACGGGTCGATCAGCCCGTCTCCCACGATAAATTCGCTCAACTCGCCAAGCGATGGCGGGGCTACTTCGAGATAGATATCTCGACAAACCCCGACCCCGACTTTACGAAGCTGAAAAAAACCATCATGCCGGACTGCCTGTCCATCACCCACGATAACACCGCACTGGCGGACCGCCACGCCACTTTCGCCACGAACTGCGCCCTGGCCTTCTACCCGCTGCACTCATGGGACCTCAAGACCCTGACAGCATTGTACACGACCGCCTTCATCTCGCTGGACGACCAGATCCGCGACATGCGCCACGACGTGCAGCTCTTCCGCACGCGCCTGCTATGCGGCGAACCCCAGCCGCAGGGGCCCCTGGCGCTCTTCGCCAAAATTCTCACTCGGATGGAGCCCCACTACGGGACCTTCACGATGGACCTGCTCGTCGCCAGCACAGTCGAGTCCATCGCCTCGCACGGACTCGAAAGCTCCGGCCACGTGTACCACCCCGACCGGATCTCCGACGACTTCCCCCGCTACTTCCGGTGGATGACGGGGTTCGCGCAGCCGTACGGCCTGTTCCTGCCCGCCCGACACCTCTTCCCCGCCGAGCCCATCGAGGCGATCGAGGCGCTCATGTTAGGGGTCATGCCTGAGATGGCCCAGCTCGCGAATGGCATTAACGACGTGCTCTCCTTCTACAAGGAGTCGGTCGTGGGGACAGAACGCGCGAATTTCATCTACATGAGCGCGGCGAAACGAGGGGTCTCGCCGCTGGCTATGCTGGAAAACTTTTCCCGGGAGTTGTTCACAAGCTACGAGGCTGTGATGGGGAGGTTGGAGGTCAATCTGCAGCTGCGGGAGGTGTTCCGTCGGTGGGTTAAGGGCGAGACGCGGTTGCATTTTATTGATCCCAGGTACCGGCTGATGGAGGTGGATCTGTCTGGTTGAAAGTGGGGTGTGTAGCCTGGTAGTGTGGTAGCTGCTCAAATGAATTGTCCTTCTTCCTTGGGGTACTCGTTCGTTCTAGTGTTGTATCAGAGAGTAAAAACCAAGCAACAAAAAGAGACAAACATAAGCCTATGCTCAAGTTGAGGTAGTCACTGACGATTAGTGAAGGCTGGTGAGCATGGTATCTGTCCTCATATCCTGGCCAGGGAAATGATTCAAAGTAACAAGCTCGTTGCTATATCAAATATAGCTATATAGAGCCTACATCCTCTTAGACTAACATATCAATCGGTTTTGCAGCGTGATTCAACCTCAATCCAAGTATCAGTATCCCAAACTGCTCCACTTAATCTTTAACGCAGCCTAAAATCTTAGCATCCACTTTGATATCACCCCGTCTGGTGCCCCCTAGTATGAAATCGCTCACAATCCGAACATCCTCCGGGGTCGTCCCATGCAGTTCCCAGTCGAATCGGCGAACCAGATGCGCAAGCGCTAAGTAGAGTTCCACATAGGCCAAATTGATACCGAGGCAAATCCGACTGCCTCGCGTAAATGGCGTGAGATAGCGGTTCAGTCGTCTGTCTTGCTCCGACCCATTCAGCCAGCGCTCCGGGTTGAATCTCTCCGGATCGGGAAAGAGGCTGGGATTGCGATGCATCAGATACGAGGAACAGCTCATGGGTGTCTATGGTTTGCGTCAGCCAAGCCACGGCCACTGTCAGGGAATTGCGAAATCGAGAGGAGAAGAAGGGGTTAGAGTGAGCATACTCCCGGCGGGATCACATGATCCTTGTACTTCAGCGTCTCGTCCGGTGCGACTCGAGGGAGTCTGATAGTCAAAGGTGACGCAAGACGAAGGGCTTCGTTGATCACTGCAGTCTTTGGTTCCTCGTTAGGCCGGGCACATATATGTCCGCAGTATCATTCGTGTGTAACATACCAGGTACGCCAGCTTCTCGAGCTCCGGGAATCCCACCGCGCTCTGCGGCGTGGGCATGACCTGCTTGAGCTCGTCGCGGAGGCGATCACGTATCTCCGGGCTGTGGGCCAGATGGAACGCCGCGATCGTCAACACGCGACCGGTGGTTTCTGTCCCAGCAGCCAACACCAAGAACCCCTCGTACTTCAGACGTTGGGGGGTGCGCTCGTGCGGTGGGACTTTGGGGTCTGTCAGGGAAGTGAACACCGATCGCCGGACCTCTAACCCTGATGCTCGCTTGGCCATCGACTCCTGAGACTGCGCAAACACCGTCCGCTGCAGGTTATAGAGACTTGACTTGCCGGGCTGTAACCAGGCCAGGAGCCAGAGGGGCACCTGTTCGATGACCCGCACCACCCTGGGGAAGAACCGGTTGTAGTGACTCAGGGCGGTGATCTCCCCCACCGCTTGTCGAATGTTGCAACGGAAGGTCTCATCCTCCAGGAAGCCGAACCGCTGGCCATATGAGTGCAAGGTAATAACATCAGCGGCAAATCCGGCGAAGGCATCGTCCAGGCGCGCAATGCGCTGGCTCTGACGGAACCCGTCCAAGCGATCCATGAGCTTGAGGACTCTTTCCTCGACCAGGGGAACGAGCTCTAGGGCGGAACGCCGGGAGAAGTAGTTCGCCAGAAGCCCACGTCGGAACCGATGGTGATCGTGGCCGACGGTCGCAATCATCGACGTTGGGAGGGTGAATGTAGGCACGAACCGAGGATCCTTGTCGCGTTTGCGGCTGCCAGAAGCGTAGATCTCATCGTAGAAGTCCGGGTCAATGATGTGGACTTCGCGAGGATTGATCCGGACAATGGGGCCTGAGGATGGATAGTCTTTGCGTTAGGGCTAGCGACGGACACATAAGTAGGAAGCGGTGCGCACCGTATTGGTCGTGCATTCTTTTGATCTCATAAATGAATTGTCCGCCCTTGATGATATCGTAATAGAACTCATAAAGGTGTGAGATCGCCGCCAGCTTTGGGCCAGGAATGTTCTTGAGGGGGTGGAAGCAAAGACGATAAATTGTTCGTAGAACAAGCCATTGTCCCAAGAAGCAAGTTAAAAGCCCCAGGAGCGGAAGCATGATTACGTTGAATGTTGAGATATGTAAGAGTGAGAGTGAGCGCAATGCTACTAGATTGATGGCTCTCAACTGTATGCCATCAACCAGAAAACTACATCTTTTATGTGAATTGTCACTCTTTGGCTCAGAGATAGAACAATCGTTGTTTGTGTCGGAAGGATGAATCTGGGTAGCCGATCATCCGGGACAACCGGTACCTTGGCTCCCAGTTCTTCCTAAACACCCGGGATATATGTTTCAGCAAAAAGTGAGTTTCTTCGCGATCTTCCATTAACTTAGACTATGATTCCATTTTGTTGTTTCTGCTCCTGGAAAGGTCATATTATCTAGCGAATATTCCGCTTTGTACGACAAACCCGCTATCGCCGCTGCAATTGGTCTCCTCTCCCATCTCTTGGTGACTCCACGTCCCAAAAGCGATCGACAAGTCACCCTACAACTCACAGATATTGACCTCAATTGTGCGTGGGACCTGGATGCCTTGCTATGGGGTATCTCAACGTCATCTGACAATTCAGCCTCCGTAATTGGCGCGCTCCAGCGTCAGCTTGGTGATCCTAACGCCGCAATTCTTGCATTCTTATACATCTACCTTTCTTAAGCGTCCCGTAACACAACCGGTGCAACTTACACTCTTCGCTCGCAGATTCTTATTGGGGCCGGTCGGGGCAGCAGTGCAAGTTTTTCGGTGGTGGTGGCCGCAGCTGTTCTCATTCAGACGGGCGTCATCGTTCCCGAAGACAACGGCCTGTCCGCAAAAGAAGATTTAAGAATCATCGATCAAGCAAGCTATCTAAAAGAGGGCTACTTTCATGGCGCGCCCAGTGATGTGGATCACGCGACCTCGATCCGAGGTGGGGCGTTGTACTTCCAGCGAGATGCTCTGTCCAACTTCGCCCAACCCACGATAGACCGGATTTCGGAGTTTCCAGAACTTCCGATCCTTCTCGTTGATATTCGTCAAATACGATCAACCGCTAGTGTTGTCAGGAACTTCCAGCAATGGGTCGGGTCCCATCAACGGGGCGCTGAATGCAGAATCAACTACATTCATCTAACAACCGAGCTCATCCGCAAAATCCTCGTCGCAGCACCGAAACAGCAACAACCCAATCCAGTTTTCATCGAGCAGATGGGAGGATTTCTTGAAATCAGCCACCGACTCCTACAGCCCTTGTGGGCGTCTCACCCTCGCCTCGAGCGAGTGCGCACGATATTATCTAATCAGGGGCTTGGGTGGACAAAGTTTACTGGCACCGGTTGCGAGGGGTGTTGTCTTTCTATACTCAATTCATAAGCATTTGATCAACTGGTCTCTGAGGACTTTGGGCTTTATAGGTTAAGATCAGGTGGGCAAGGGTTAGTTGTTCTTGTTCCCAACCCGGAATTTGTTCTTAGCGCAGACGAGCTTAAGGCGGAAATTCGAGGAAATCGACAGCAATGATCTTCATTCAGAGATGGAGAGATGGTGGGAGATCGAGTGGCGATACAAGGCATAACCTTTCAAATAGCTGCTAGGCTACCACTTTTATATACCATGAGTCGTTGGTGTGTAGCCCATGCCCTGATGCACTTCATCGAGCGTACAAAGCGCGTAGATCTCGGCCTCTTATGGTAAGATATAACCATAATTCTCGTTTTTATCTCTCAAGATGAGGTCTTTAACCCCGAGTTTTGATCCGTTAAATTGTTTCGAGGCGAACATCATCGCACGTGTGTCCTCCGTTGTCTGCTTTTCTTTGGACCCAGTCATCAATGGTCACTATCGCGTATCTGCTTGCATCAAATATAGATCTCCTCAAACTTCTTCATCAAGTACTCTCTGACAGTCCACTCATGACCGTCCTCCGACGGATCAGCCTTGTCTAGGGGCCGAACCATAAAGTCCAAGTTTCCATCATAGAAAAACGGTACCGAATACCTCTCTTGCCCACAAACATTCACCACCCGATGAACCGTACTCCGATACCGGCCCCCGGTCCATCTCTCAAACATGTCTCCAATGTTCACAACATAAGCGTCGGGCGTGGATGGAACATCGACCCACACTTCTTCTTCCTGCTCCCCCTCTATTCCTTGGATCCCGTTTCCCTCCTGGCGATATAAAACCTGCAAGCCCTCATTCCCATCCTGCAGCAAAAGCGTGATACCCCCGAAATCCGTATGCGCGCCTGCCACAACCTCGCCTCTCTGCGCACACATAGTCCCATCCTTGCCCTTCTCTATCGAGTCCTCCCAAGAAGGAGATGGCCCCGGATACCTCAAAAGCCTCAAGCTCGCGCAGGGCTCCTGACAGAAATCCTGCAGCAATTTCTCCGATTCCAGCCCAGGAAAATCATCCTCCAGCCCCTTCACCAGAATCTGCATAATAGTTTGAGCAAGCTTGCATGTCGCCTCATGATATTTTAAGATGGGTTCCTTGAAGACCGCTTCCGGGAGGACCGATGCGTCAGGCCAGATGTTGGGATACTCGAATGGTTGGTAAGGCGGTTCCTTTGGCTCGGCGGGTTCCGCTCCGACAAAGTAGCACTATTTCCATCTAACCATGTTAAGCCTATATCCCGCTGAAAGCTTGACGGCAGAGAGGAGCGAAGACTCAACCTCTTTGAGATCAGGCCGCGTTCCCTGCTCCAGCATCTGGGAGCCAATCTCCTCGTACCCTTTCCGGGCGGTTGTGTCGATGTACCGGCGTTTGATCTCGAGCGGGAGCGCGAAGAAGTGCTTTGCGGCTGCCAAAAGGTCGGACTGGAGGAGGGGTGCGATGCCGTGGTGGGTGATGCGGAAAAAGCCGGTTGTTGTGCAGGCTTCGCGGATCGCGGCGATGATGGTGGCCTTTTGGGGGTCATTGCTGTCGGACGTGGTGAGGTAAGGGGAGAGATCGATGGTTGGGATTGTGATGGCCATTCTCTCTTGGAAGCAGTTTGAGGAAGATAGGTCTTGGGTCCTGAGAGAGGGAACTAACGGGTCTTTGGGAAGGCTGGAGAAGAGGTGTTTGTTGTCAGGCATCGACGACACTTGATTGATCATGCATGGGTGCCCGCGGGATCACGGGAGACTTTTCCTGTGAGATGTGGTTCGGTGTTTTGTCATTTGCTGTATAGCTCTGTTATGTTAAAGTTTTATGTAAACTCGGCACTGCTCCATCAGCAGGTCAGATATCTATGCAATGACGACAATAGAGGAATATTTTTCCTTCTACCATTGCAACTCCGACATGAATGTTCCCAAAGTTTCAGTCCATCCTGTTTCTCTTTTCTTTCTTCTTATTCAATCCTGTATAATCCGACTCATATATATGATCCAGAATAGTCGTAGTATCGCTGCAAGTGTTTCTTAAGCTATACGGCCATACCGAAGCCCAGATCATATATTCTTCCATAGCTCTAAAGGCATTATCGGCAATCATTTTGGACTTTCAAGCATGATATGCACACCGTGAAGATGTTTGTAGATTGCTAGAATGTGAGATTTAAATCATTATGTGCCAAGTGTTTCCTGTCACAGGGGCATCTGGTACGTAAAACAAATTGCTATAAGGAAGTAACCGAAACCATTCATTGGATAAGATTCGATTTAGCCGTGGTAAGCACCGCAGCTCCTTCCAGATCGACAGGTCTAGTGAATCATCACTGAAAAGAGAAAGGGAATGTTATTCAGAAGTTTCTCTCGAGAGTTCATTAGATATTAGGTTGTCCGTCTAGGAGCTGCACTACCACGCTTGAATGGATGTCCACAGTACAAAAATCTTAATGCTTTCCTCTCTTCTTCTCCTTCTAACTCCTGCATGATTAATACTGCCTATCAATGCTAGTATGGCTTTTGAGCAGATACCTGGATCTCCACCAAGTCTCTAGTCGATTAACATAGTATTAATCGAGGTGGGGCATCGTAATAATCCTCAACGATCATGATATAACACAAGCTGCTTGTATGATATTTCATGAACTATAAGACTTGGTACCATGGAGGGAAAACATAGAATTCCCCAGCCGATAGTCTAATAGGGCCAGGGCCACTATCTTATCAATGCTGAGCCTGTGGGAAGTGTCGCGCCCCCATTCTTGAATCGACATCACACCCCCACCATTGCGAACGGGAGCTATATAAGAATTATAGGAGGGCCACAACGCACAAGAGCCACGCATATCATCACCTAGAATACAGAAAATGTGGCGATTATTTGGGCGCACTTCCAATGAACCGGCAAAGGAGTCTCCGCCTCGGGGCCTTCCGGCCTCCTGGTACCGCTCCGACGCGATGTATCAGCTCGAACGACGCGCCATCTTCTCCAAACGCTGGATTCTACTCACCCACTCTAGCCGCCTCGCTAAGCCTGGGGACTTCCTCTCCTTCACCGTTGCCGAATTCTCCTTCCTTTTGACCAAAGACCGCGATGGGAACATCAACGGCTTCCACAACATCTGCCGCCACCGCGCATATCCCATAGTCCAGGCCCGGGTCGGCTCCGCTTCCATCCTCAGCTGCAAATACCACGGATGGTCCTACGGGCTGAAAGGGAACCTCTCCAAAGCGCCCCGCTTCGAGACGGTCCCCGACTTTGACAAAGGCCAAAACGGACTACTCCCCATCCACGTGCACGTCGACCAGGCCGGCTTCGTGTGGGTGAACCTGCAGGCCGGCGAGGGCCCCGACGTGCAGTGGCAGGACGATTTCCAGCAGATCGACGAGCAGCCGCGCATGCAGGATTTCGATTTCGCCGGGGAATACACCTTCGACCACTACTGGGAAATGGAGATGGAGGCGAATTGGAAGCTGCTGATCGAGAATTACAACGAGTGCTACCACTGTGCGACATCGCACCCGCTTATCAGCGGGGTTTCGGATCTGCCGCGATATCGGGTGGAGCCCACCGCCGCGTACATGGAGCATCATATCTTCAACAAGGACAACGTCGACGCCCAGTTTCGGCGCGCGATTACATATTTTTTTCCGACGACCTCGGTGACAGTGACGTAAGTATGATTATTATTATTATTGGAGAAGATCTTCTGGTCATGCCATCGGCTTGTTGACGTTTCTGCCATAGCGACAAATTCTTCTACATTCAGCGGATGATTCCTTTGAGCGCGACGACGAGCAAGATCGAGAATGAGGTGTATCGTCACCGCGACGCGACAGACGAGGAGTTTGACAATATCAACGCATTCTATAGGCAGGTTCTGGAGGAGGACAAAGAGCTCTGTGTTGGTGTGCAGACGAATCTGAGTCCCGGAGTGTTTATCAACGGCGAGCTCCACCCGAGCAAGGAAAAGGTATATCGACAGCGCTCTGCGGGTCAATTCAAGGCTAACAACAACACAGGGTCCCATTCATTTTCAACAGAGCCTGAGAGAGATGGTAATGGAGCATCGCCAGAAGGAAGAGGCCCAAGGTGGGCGAGAGATCTGGCCAGCGCTGCCCGCAGTGACGGGAGACATGAAGACGGATCGCTTAGCGGAAGAGGAACGATTTTGTTCGCAACTGGAAGCGAGTTGCATTAGCCGACCGGAGCTAGCCTGGTAGAGTAGAGTAGAGAATCGAATCCATAGTGACCTTACAGATTCTAATCAATTCTCCTTGCTTCATGCCAAGAGCGATCGTCTTATCTAGGAGAGGAGGCCAGATCCTTGTGTTGTGATAAGCTGATAACATGCGGGGTAAAGTGACTAAAATCGGGGTTTCTCCGCGATAACCCAAGTTGCCCCTGCCACTTTTTGCCCTCTGACGACAGCTGGCGGTTGTGCCTTTTTACTTTCCCATCATCTTGTCGCTGTCCAAGAGTGGTGGTGAGGAGGCTGTTCAAGGTTGTTCAGTGGTTGCTAAGAATATGATCGATCTCTCCCCTCCCGACAGCTATACCATGAGCCAATCTCAGCGTCCCAAACGGACCAGCAATGCGTGTGTTCCCGTGACCTCGAGATAGGACCAAAGCAAACGAGCAACCCTAGCGCTGACAAAAACTTCAGCTGTCAACGATGTCGCTCCAGAAAGGTCAAGTGTTCTGGGACTCATCCGTGCGATAAATGTCGTCAGCGTCGCCAAAATTGCGTCTTCGAGGAGGATCGTAAGATAGTCGTCTCTGAAGAGTATTCCTCAACTGTCCACCCATTTACCACTCCTTGCTTGCGCTGACTGCAATCTCTTTCCCCCAGGCTTTTCCTGTCTCTGAAACGCAAAGTCGAAGAGCTAGAAGGCGTACCATCTTCCCCCACAAGCAAGCGACATCGTGCATTGCGAGAAGACACCATCAATGAGTCTGTCGATGGTATGTGATCTACGAAATTACATCAAGCCTTGTCTAATCGTCTCAGTCTGTGAAGAAGGAAATGCAGAAGCCACAACAACCCCAGCTCCTCTCGATTCCGACCGCTATGACGACCGATTTGCCTCCAACCCCTTAGTCTCCCCTTCAACATATGTCAAACACACTGGTCGACAACACAGGAAGTGGCGTACGTGGTGCTTTCAGCAGACCCGATTGACACGACTGATTTTGCGCAGTGTTTCTCGGCCCTACTTCGACGTGGTCGTTCAGTCGACGCGTCCTCAACATTGTTCAAGCACGTATATATCCCGACAGCCAGCGGCCAATTCCTCTCGCGGTCGACGGCGATGCGTATCAAATACTATGGCGGCATGCTAGTTCCGAAGAGGTGCCCGATACCAGCGGACTGCCGTCGATGGAGCACGCCTTGTACATGGTGAGCACAGTGCAGTTCCACTTCGGGAATATGTACCGGCTCTTCGACGAGGACGCGTTTCTCCGCCATCTCCACGAATTCTACAAGAACGCGGCGGAGAAGGTACAAGAGTCACGTCTGTGGTACGTGCAGTTTCTGGTCATACTGGCATTTGGGGAGGCCTTCCTAGCTCCGGTACGGACCGCGTCCAACACCGCCTCGTGGACGAAGTATTTTTCGCGAGCCATGTCGTTGCTGCCGGATATCACGGGGCTGTGGCAAGATCCCACTCTCGCTATTGAAACGCTGGCTCTCATTGCGCTTTACTTTTATTCGGTGGATATGAGAGATACCGCTTATTGTTATGTGAGACATCACTTGAGAGCACTGTTTGGATATCGCTAACTGGGTTAGATTGGCCATTCTATGCGAATGGCGCTGGTGGAAGGGCTTCACCGTGCTCAGCCGGTGGAGCAGCTAGGACAAAAGCTCGTCACTCGGTGGAGCAACATCTGGTGGACGGTATATATCTTGGACCGCAAATTCTCCTCTTTGATGGGTTCGCCTTACTCGGTGAACGATGAGGATGTCAACGCCATCCTCTGGGATCCACGAACATGTTCGCAGAACGAGGCAGTCTTGAGTTTGCATGTGAGAATATCGCAAGTGACTGCTCGTGTTCTGAACAGTAAGTAATATTATGTCCGATAATGTGCAGCGTCTTGCTAACCGACTTGACAGCCGTGTACAGCGCCGATGGTACACTGGGAGGTCTATTCCTACGCAAGGTCCGCTCTGTTTTACAAGAGATGTCCGATTTGTCGCGCGAGCTCGACGAAGTCTTCTCCAACCGTTTTGCAAACTCGGTAGATGCCCTGTCAGGCGTCACTACTCGATTGACTCTGTCATGCCATCTGGTAAGCCTCCTTAAGCCGTCAATGGGGCACATCAAGCTCATGGCCAGCAGTGCATCATCGTCACCACAAGGCCGCTTGTCCTGAGCCTTTTATGGGAACGCCTTAGTTGCTACGAAGAAGGCGCCGAGTTCCGCACCTTATCCTCACCCGTGCAAACCCTCCTCCAGGCATGCATCGATTCCGCCGTCAAATCCCTCAAAATTTTATCTGCTCTTCGAGACCAAAATCTGCTGGGTTCGCATTACCGTCTCACCCTTCTCCACAACCCTCCATTGCTAACCACGCAGTCTTTCACCATAGAAACGTTCCTCCCATTCGATCTAGAGAATGTGTTCTCATCCTTCTTCGTCCTCTCGCTCATCTCCGCCATTCTACCCGACGCTGCCATGGATCCGACCTACCGTGAAATCGGCTTCAGCTTGCTAAACGAGATGATTGAGCGCGGCAACCGCGTTGCCCACCTCCGCAAATCCGAGATCGAGCTGCTGGAGGAACTCGTTCAACCTCTGGTCCAACGGCACCACACACCCCCTATCAGCACAGACACAGCACACGGGCAGCTGGCCACGCCGGAAAGCCAACAGCGACCGCTCGGACACTTGGAGCAGCTGTCGGGCCCCAGCGCTGAGGAACTGGACAGCATCCCGACCATCGCGCCTACCGATGTGCCCCCCGATCCGGAAGATGAGCTGTCGCTCGACTGGCGAGGCCTTGGGTTGTCCTTGGACTATATGCTGTCGGTGACGGATCAGTTGAATGCGAATAACCTGGTGCTGGATGCGGAGCGGGAGGGGCTCCAGTCGGATCTATGGTTGTGGGAAGATAGCTAGGCGGGAGCTTTGCGAGACCAACACGGAATAGCTGAAGCTGAGGAGTTCGACCTGTATGCTATCGCAGCCGCTTTGTAAGGATGAATGAAAGACGGCTGCTTTTCTCTACAAACAGAAACGCCAGGCAATTTCCGTGGTCTTTGATGACTTACTGTGCTTGTCATCTTCGTGCTCTTGCGGTGAAGCATTGTGAGCGAGGAGAATTGATACATCCTATCCTGTGCATCACGTATACTGTGCGGTTCTCTCAACGCCGAGAAGACAGCCACGAAACAAGCCCGCCAACCGGCAAAAGAGCATATCGGTCACGGTGAATGTTTGTCTGGTCCCCCATATCAATGTACGTGATGATGTCGCCGTCGCCATGCACCGCCAGATTAGTCCTGTTTTTGCGCAGATCTCTGTTATAAAAATCACTCCTACCTTTTTTCTTCAGGACTCCTTCCTCTCTTTTTCTCATCATCAACTCCATCATCATCCCCATTATCCCAGCAAAGACGACCTTCCCATCAACTTGACTCTCCCAGTCCCAGCTCCTAGCAATACACCGGCATCCATCAACACAAAGCAGCCACAATGCCCAGAAAGCGCGGAGCCAAGATGCCAGGCAACTTTGTCCTAGCCAGAGACCCTTTCGCTCTGCTCCCGCCCGAGATCACCCTCATGATCATACTCGCTCTGTGGAACTTCGAGGACGTCGTACAGTTCAGCCAGACCTCCCCCCGGTTGCATGCCATAGTGTGCCAGAACCTTGCCTACATTTTTCGGGAAAATGGCCCACAAGATCCTCGGCACGATTCATCTCCCGCTGCAGCTCTTAGCTGATCAAAAGGTCGACGCCAAACTCATACACGTGAGCGAAGTCAAGCCAGGGTACCTAATGCGAATGATGTACAATGCGCAGGCACTCGCCATATGGACACAGGCGTACCAGCCGCGTCCAGTCTTTGATCGTCTCTGGTTTGTTTCCGGCAGTGGTAAGATTTCTCGTCCCTCTCTTGTCGAGGCATGAGCTGAGACCCAGCCCTTCCACCGACGCCGATACTAACCACGTCACAAATCCCCTCCAGACACCATGCTCATCGGCCCCATCATCCCGGATCTCACGGCCCTCGTCAACTTCCTCCTCAACGACGTCCTCGCGGTAGATACCACCCACCCCCTCATCACGAGCTTGCTAGCCCAAGACCCCTCCGGGATCACCCCGGGCCTGATGCAACTCGTCGCCACCCAAGCCTTCGAGCCCCTCGGTTATAACCTGTACAACCGGTCGCAGGAAACCCGCCGGCTCGTGCGCGCCCTCTACCAGGCCTGGAGCCTGAGCCTGCTAGGCCGGCCCGACGCCGTTCTCCGATACCACACCATGACCCTAAAAGATCTGTTTCTGGTGAGTGGGGTCTTCGCAGCCTTCCGGGAGCCCCTCGCCCATCTTCTGTCGGTCCCACGCGGGGAGCGCAGGCGGCCGAGCGACACCCAGCGCGTCGACACGGCCCTGAGCGACGTGACCTTTGCAACCATGGAGCGGTTCGAGTTCGTGCACCGCGAGATGTTCCGCCGGCGGGATGCGGCCGAGCCTGGGTTCCGCGACGGGCTGCAGATGCAGCTGGACGGGCTGCGCGAGCTGTGGAAGACCAAGAGCCAGGCCATGTTCCGTGCGGTGATTACTCAAGATCTGTACTGGGCGGACCAGGGGATCTTGAATCCGGCGTCGGCGGAGGGGGTGTGGGATGAGGAGGAGGAGGATGATGATGATGATGATGATGATGATGATGATGAGTGATACAATAACTCTTCTTGTCTTCGGGGAATATGGGGCCTAAAGGGGGTTATCCGGGGTGTTTGTTGGGTTATTGCCGTTTAGGAAAGGTTCAATTGCTTGGGGGGCTGGCACTTTGCCTTGATTTTTGCTCTGATTCTTGCTTTTGATTAATTTGAGGTTATCTCTCTTGTCCTTAATTCTAGTTGATGTTGATTTTGTGCACCTGTGCATACAAGATTGTCCCTGTACTGTTACTGCACATGCACTATTCACTGAGCTAAGAATACAGCCATCTGCCCAGACGTCGTGATCCGATCTATTCTATCTACTCAGTAGACACGTCCACAGACAAGACACAAACAGACACCGCGGCAAAAGAATAAGGTAATAACCGGAACCGTGGATTCGTCATCGCCAACCTTGGCCCAGCACTAGTTCTGGCGGGTATACGTAACTCCCGCCCCACCGGTTGGTTGTTGTGCCCTAAAGTGGCGGACTGGAACAAAAACACAGGTTGGGATCTTTGTTTGTAGCAAACGGGGGGTGAAGGTGACACGTCAAAAAACCTTCTATGACAGGTGTATACTATCTCAGTGCAGTAATTATAAAGAAATAGAATCATCAGCAGTCGATCAGGCACATCTCCCCGACTGAAACCAGCACACGTGGTGTTGATCGATCGCGACGGAAAGGAAAGGAGTTGCACGGCTAGCCCGCGCTAACAAGGCTTAGCCCTCACCGTCAGAGAATTTTTATGTGTTTGCCTGGTGGAGACTTTACGATTTGGTCAGGTCAATCAGCAAATCAAAATGCAATAATGATACGAGTATGAACAACAGCTGTACTACGGAGTAGAATACAGTACACAAACCTTTTGCGATCCGTCGTTCGGAAATGACCCACACCGATGCAGTGCGCTAGCCCTCCGTCTAAGTTAGAACCCAGTTTGCCTTAGGAATGCCACCATTCGCCCGAGCAACCTGCCTTCACTCCTTAAGCCCTCGTCGGGGGCCAGGCACACTCTAGACTAGACACATGGCTTGGAAAAATGTCCGCGTCTCTTGTCGGACCAGTGGGAGGGCTGAGGTGACGAGTGACGACGCAAGGGGGGGCCGTCGCGGGCTTACGTAGGGAATGCATGGCATGCCAATGACCAGGCCGGCGTACCTGAAAAACGAACAGTAGGAGTTTGTTTGTGGAGTCCCACACTGACAACCAAAACACTGGCTGCAGGAATGTCAGCCAACAGCGTTGATGGATTATAATCTGTCTGGCCCCTCGAGCAACTGGGGAGTGGAGAGAGCAGAGTTGGTGGCCCTCCGTTTCACTGCCCTAAACGGGAACTATTGATTCGACGACTCCTTTAGTCGCCAGCTGGTCTGGATCGCGCCATTCGACAACGGGCCTTCTCGAGGCGATGTGACTGATCGGGGCCCAATGCTGACGATTCTCGAGTCTTGGTCCTGTCTCCACTCGGCGCTGTCTTGCGTCGTCCACCGTCGGTTGGCTACCCGCTTTGACGCCCGTGTGAACTGGGGTGGCGGCGGGTTAATGTATATACTGGGACTGGGACCACTCTGTTGGCTCTGATCTTCTTTCTTCTTCAAGCATCATCCAGTCGTTCCTTTTGATCGTGCCCTCCTGGTTCAAGACAGCCGGGATTATAGCAGCCGTGCGCAGAGCATACGTCCAACACTCTCCTTCAGTCGAACCGATCGACACACAACTATCTTTCCGATCCATTCATTGATCAGCCAACCACGCCCAGCATGCAGTGGAAATCACTCCTTCTTTACGGTGCCATCGCCGAATCGGCCCTGGCTCGTACTCACGGCCACCAGCGCCGTCACCCCCACGGCCACGGCCATGCCGAACGTGTCCCGGAGGCACACCTGGCTGCCCGTGAAGTCGTTGTGGAGACTGTGGTCAACTACCACACCATCACACTCACCAGCACTGTGACCGGTGCAGCACCCACCGTCACCACCCATGAGGAAGCGGCCACCACCACGGCCGCAGCCGCCGCCACCACCTCCGCCAGCGACGCCGCCGCTTTCGTCGAGCTCGACCTCAACGAGGACCTCGCCATCAGCGCCAGCCTCAGCCTCGGCCTCTCCATCGGTGGCTCCGAAGCCACCACCACCACCTTCAGCACCAGCACCCACTCCAAGACCCACGCTCACACCACTAGCACCAGCACCACCTCCTCCGCCGCCGCCGCCAGCAGCAGCGCCGCAGGCGTCAGCTCGGCGTGGTACACCTACCCGACCAGCGGGGTCTACTCGACCAGCGGATTCGGCGAACGCAGCAACACCACAAGCAGCAGCGGCGACACCTACGTGGGCAACGTGGGCGTCCCCTGGGGCAGCAACATTATCGAGGTCAGCGCCAGCGAAGCGTGGCAGTACAAGTACGTGGTGCAGTTCACGGGGCAGAACAGCGCGGACTGGTTTGTGAGCATCTGGAACAAGATCGGGCCCGACGGGGCAGACGATGGGTTCTTCGGCCACTCAGCCCTCAACTTCACGCTGAGCTCCGGTGAGACACGCTATGTCGCCTTCGACGAGAACTCGCAGGGTGGCTGGGGCGCCGCCGAGGGCGACAGCCTCCCCACCAACGACTACGGCGAGTACTCGTGCACCTGGGGCGAGTTCGACTTCGGTGACGAGGAGAACGACAGCTGGTCCGGCTGGGACGTCAGTGCCATCGTCCCCGAGGAGGCCGACCAGACCATCCAGGGCATGAAGATCTGCCGCCACGGCACCACCACCGGCTGCTCGTACATCACCTCCGGCGGTGGTACCGTCGAGAACGCCTACACCCCCTCCGAGAGCTCGGTCGGTGGCATCGGTGGCTCCGTCACTGCTGGTCCCCTGCGTCTCGCGGCTGTGATTGATTACTCTGGGTGAATGTAACCCCGGTTGGGGTTGAGGTGGGGTCGGTGGATGAGTTGTATATACACACTTCCGGCCTTGACTTCTTGCTGTATATTCACTGTCGATGTTGATATCATGACGTATATAACTGGGACACCAGTGCGAGAGTCGCGTTGAGTCTATTTGTTCTCGTGTTGATACCTCTTCTTCTGCCTCAATGGCAGGCTGCTTCTCATCTTCTTTAATATACCATATGTGTTTTTCAATGTTGTTGTTTCTGTCGCCCGTCAAAACAAGTAGGCTTGGCTGCTGATCCTCGGCTGTGAGATCCGACGGTGATTGCCGGCTCCACACGGCTTGCTTCAGATGTAACTATCTAAAGGAGGCTTCGTCGCCCGAATCAATTTGAACGTGTCACTGTGGCTTAGTGAGGGAGAAGCACTATTAGATTCGCCACAGTCATGGCCAGCGTAGTCCCATGCTGGAGACCATGGCGCATACTGTAGGCCATTCTTCCCGTACGGTCGCATTTGCCCAGTGCGTGGATTTAGAGTAGATGCTCAGGAGTCAGGTGACTCGAGGTCATGCTGGTCTGGACCGCTCGGGTATTCGGTAAGTATGCAACAGCGTTGGCTGGCAGCTGCTCTGTTGAAGCTATGAGTATGTGGATGGACAGAGAATCGGGAGAGTAGCAGGACCTCACGTGACCAATCGGGAGGCTGATCCGGAAATGCTGGTTTAGTCAGCGGCAGCCGATCCCCACCGAGTCTCCACCAAATGAAAAGCTGCGCCGCCTCACAATCCACGATCCACTCCCATCTTCAAGCCTCGTTGCCGTCATATTGTATTACGAGGACAGCAGTCGGACAGATCGCCGCGTCTAGAACCTCCCCGCCACTACCGTCTTACCGTTGATGCGAGGTCAATGGGTTGTGCAGCGCGCACGACGCGGCTTCGGGGCATCATCAACCATAGCGGCGACTCACCGAGCCGCAACATCATGTCCACCCTGTTATCCATCTAGAGCATCTAGAGCATCTAGAGCAACCATCCACAACTCCAGGCCTACTCCCAGAAGGTGCCACCAGTCTATCCAGAAACCCCATTATCTATCCTACCCAGGAACGAAACGCACCTTCTTCACCACCTCCCTCCCCCCCATCCTCATCCCCCCCACCATCTTCCTCGGCCTCCTCCTCGGCCTCTGGACCTGGAAATGCTTCTGGATCGTCCTGCTACAAGATAAACTCCTCTACCTCTCCTGGCTCCCACCGCTCTCGCGCTCCGAGACCATCACCGCCTACGAACCTGAATGCCGTCCCGTGCAATGGACCACGCAGCAGATCCGCAGCCTGGACGGCACGAAGCTCACCGTCTGTGAGGGCCGTCTCCCGCGACGACAACCCCCCGAAAAGACGGTAGTCATCTGCTACTTCCAGGGTAACGGCGGCTCCACCCCGCTGCGCTTACCGTTACTCTCCCAGACCCTGCGGGCATTGTCCAATGCCCCGCCAGGTTCTAGAAACCCAGAACCAGAGGTCGAGTACATCATCACCGCCCTCTCCTACCGCGGGTACTGGACCTCGTCCGGCCGCGCCTCGCAAAGGGGCATCGAGCGCGACGCCCAGGCGTTTCTGGCGTGGGTGATGCCGACCTACGCGGCGCCGGACCGAGAGGTCCGGGTCGTCCTGTGGGGTCACAGTCTGGGCTCCGCGGTTGCGACCACCGCGCTGGCGACGTATCTCAGCAATGGAGGTGCGGCAGCATTGACGGCTCGAATGCCCAGTCCCCCTGACGCTGACCCCATAGCATCGACTGCTTCACCACCCCCCATCACAGGCCTGATCATGGAAGCACCCTCCTCCAGCGTCAAGGAGATGCTTATCAGCCTGTATCCGCAGAAGTGGCTACCGTATCGGTATCTGTGGCCGTTCCTGTGGAACCACTGGGATAGTTTGCTCGCGTTACGGCGGATGGTGGCGTGGCGCGATGGGGTTGCTGCTCCTGAGGAGACGGTGCGGGATGGCGGAGATAGAGATACGTCTGACAAGATCAAGACGACTCGAGATGCTGAGACAGCGCCCTTGAATCGGAGATCACTACCGCCAATTCTGTTGCTCACTGCTGTGAACGACGAGGTGATTCCTCCGGAGGCGGCGGCGCAGTTGGAGGCGGAAGCACAGCGGTTGGGAATTGAGATGGTGAGGACGGACGTGCCCGGGGCGATGCATACAGAGGCACCGGTGCGGCCGGCGGGGAGGAGGGCGTTGGTGGAGTTTATCCAGGCGAGGAGTTGAGGGTGCCGTGCTCCACGCTCTTTAATCTGTAGAGAAGCTGAGACGAAGCAATCTGGCGCTTTTTGTGCCGGCTTCCTCAATGGAGATGACGAGTAAAAACCTTGACTGTGCGAGAAGATCGGAGAGGAGCCCCTCGATATTCTTGCATCCCATCCGCGGAAAGTACTTGTATCACCCTCGTCGACGGCGCCAAGTGTTTCTACGAATAGCCATACTATCTGGATCATCGCGGCTGACTAGCCGTTGACTTATCACCCACAGGTCTTATAAGATCTACTATCTTCGTCTGTCTAACGCCGAACAAATACCTTGCTTAAGGATTGATAGATTCTCGTCACTAGGAAGTATATAGTGTACAAGAATGGGCGGGGGGCCCTTTGGCCCCCCCTACGCGATCTGTAGTGCTGGGTTTGAGGTGAGTCGCCGGCCCCAGCCTACGGCATGGGGCTTCGGCGACAGTAGAATGGCAGCGGCAGCATAGGGCGGTGAAAAAGTGTTAAAAACAGAACCAGAGGCCAAGTGGAAGTATTCTTTAGATCTGCACACAATTTCGGGGTCATGTCAAACAAATCAACAGCAAGATCGAGCAAAGCAAAGCATCATCAGTTGCCACTCTATCTGCTTACTTTACCCGTCTACGAAAGGAGGTGATACTTTGCTAGAAAAGTGCCCGAAGTTACAGTAAACATGTTTCTGAGACAAGACTGGATTCAGTATAATAGCTAGGCAAGGCATCACTGTCGAATTGGATCAAAGAGACTCTCAAATTGTGTTGAAGAACCAGAGGCAAAGAAGAGTTGGACCAAGCACTGCCTAGCGGAGAAAGTGTGGGTTCTCTACTAGAACAAGGGGACTGACTTCCGTCAGATCCGAGGCATCGATGATCCGAACAATCCGAAAATCGTTCGTAAAGACCACATGGTATAGATGACCGCGATATTCTAGCGAAGATATTAGGCCGGGCTAGGAGAGAAACGGTGGAGAAGGACATTACCTGGATAGCCCTTCTGCGGCGCATTCCGAGTAGAATTTAGAACAACGTAATCTTCTATCAGCCTTTTCTTGATCATTGTAAAATACTGACCATCTTCCTCAAACCGTTGCATATATTGTCTGATACGATCGCTGTTTCTTAGTAATTCCAGCCCCCACTTCTTCTGCTCAATCAGAAAATCGATTCTTCCGCTCCTAACGCCCGTTTTGATCAGGTATTCCGGAGCCATTTTGATCTGGTACTCGAGCAGCAGTGGGAAAAGACAGCGGTAGAATTCTTTTTGGTACTGGTCTTCGATAGGTACGGAATCACCGTTCAGTGTGCGTAGACGGCCTGATAGCTGGCATGGGTCAAATTTGCGGATAGCATCAATAGCCATCTCAAGGGGTGACGAATAAGTCAATTCCTTTTCCGAGTGTACCGGAGAGAAAAGGCACTGGCAATACCTGAGATCTTGTTTAAGTAAACAGAGCATGGAATCAAACATCGCTCAGTAACTTTACCATCGATGAATCTGGCTGGGAAACACATAAAGTGTATCTCTCGGTACCGTCTCCGCATGAAGCCATCCTTGTTTCCAGATATCGTCCAAGGCCCTTTGTTGATCTGGGTCGTTGATATAACTAGATTGGAGAGTCCCGTTGTGAGAAACAGCATTCTTGAAAACACTAGCAAAAGCGTGTTGTTGGACGGATTCTTGTCTGGGAAGGCCTCGAGCAAACGGGAGATACTGAAGGATTTGGAACAATCGTTGGTCATTGCTAAAAAGACTTTGGCTTGCTGTCACCCAGTCCAGTGGTTGGCATTTTTGGATCAAAGTATAAAGCTCCTATTGTAAAAGGTAAATTGTAGCAAGTTAGTCAGGCTTTCATATCTTGACTTAGAAATAGAGCTTACCGGCAGTTGCTCCAGGGCATCCACAAGTGATACAAGCAGCCCCGCATGTCCCCCACTGGCCAGATATAATCCCCTTTTCAGTTCTTTTGTTAGTATATCTGCACCATTTGACATGTTGCTCGGCACATATTGGTCAAGGACTTTGTATGCTTCGTCCTCATTCAGAAGCAAACCAACTTCCTTCCGCCCAGAATGGTGGTAGATCCCTTCTTCCGGCCTCAGCGATATCTGCTGATAGAGTTGGAAATTCATAGGCGTCTGAGTAGGAAGATTCCGACCTCCGCCGCCATGGACCTTCCCTGAGCCGTAGCATGTAAAAAGAACAAAATTGACTGAGACTGTTTTCTCAATCGACTTGAAGAGTTGAACCCATAGGTCAGTATCCCAATATGATTCTTGTGCCTCGTCGAGAAGGATAAAACTTGGATATGCTTCCAGTTCATCCCCGGAGATGCAGATGTTGAGTTGTTGCTGAAAATAGCGTACCCAGCCTCCTGCTGCCCGAACCTGTCTCTCTGGCCAACCTGATAGAATATACAAAGGAGTATCAGGATAGCGCTTGAGTAACTCATTGGCCATCAGCTTCATTGTTGTTGTCTTCCCCGATGCAGGGGTCCCGTTGATTCTGATCAAGTGGTAGCGTTCCAGACGGAGAATCAGTTCGTTTATCAAATCATGTCGTAGGTTCACATACGGCTTGATTACTAAAGAGGGTCAAACGAAAAGTTCGCTGTTACAGTCTAACGTAGGGAGTTACTTACTGAGAGGCTTGGTTTTCCGAGCCACAGGAAGACCAGAGCCAGAAGAACCGGGGGGAATTAGGATATATCAGTCAGAGCAGATAACAACCGTAGAAAGCAACTGACCATAGCTCTGATGTTTACTGAGAGGATGTGAGCATCTTGTACACTTTGCTTCGCACAAGTAATCCAAAGTGGATATACTTTCTCCGAAGGTACACTGGCAGCCTCTTACTCCGCAAGGCCCCATAGTAAGAAGTAATCTTTTGGCCTCAGCCGGAGGCGAAGCGGAGGTGGATGAGTCGGAGAGTTGAGATGAGTTCGCCATGATCGGATTCCTATACGCGCAGGACCGCACTTAAATCAAACTTCTGATACTTGCCTAGTTTCTTTACTATGCAAGCAGCCGTTGTGATAAATAAATGAGGGCCTTTTTTGATGCCAGAGACAAGGAGACTCACGTCATAAGAAGTTGCGTCTTAGTTGAGCAGCAGTGTGAAAGATGATAAAACACGTACTCAATATCACAAATGACGGGCATTTCACTGTTTGAGTGATCTTCTTTGTTGATAAAAAGCGGGGGTGGGTAGTATTTGTTTCGGATACTTCATTAGTTCAATGTGGTCGCGTTCATGCCGTGGAACGGCTACAAGTTCGATACTCTTTGTCAAGCCCTACCAGCCAATAAGAGGGTACTGAGGCCAGAAGACCGCAAAGCCATCTGTTTGCTGCCCCTCTTCCAGTGTAATCCGCTCTTGTAGCTGTTTGCTGTACTACTTAAGTACACAAATTATAGTCTATCTGTCTAGCCAGTTCGATGGTATGACTGCTAATGCTATTTTAGACATCGATAGCTCCTACAGTAGCTACTACTTACCAGACCTAGCAAGGGCTAAGACTCAACCACGTGCGTAATGTTTCTCTACGCATAAGAGTTACTTGCGTTACCTATGGAGCTGAAGACTCGAAGTAGATTTAATTCAAATATATTGTTGATATGATATTTGAGGTTCCGCTTATAGTGGACAGGATAACGAAGCAGAGTGGCGAAGGCGGGACAGGGCGCGCCAGCAAGTTTGCCCTGTTTGCATATTTGCTAGGTTTGTGTCGGCGTTCCTGAATAATCCTGCGTACGTGATCCGAGACGAATTATCAATTATTTAGATATATAAACTATAGTAGTAGAGGATTTTTATATAGTAGAGACTTGGATTCTTATTGCTTTGGTGGAGTTGGTCGACTCTCTTTTACAGCACACACCACCATGCTGTTTCTCTCTTCCACTTGGGGATTTTTCTACATACCTACATACTGTAGTGACGGGATTTGAAATCATATGGGCGCGAATCGTCGACTGGATCGATGTCTGACTACGGAAGGGTGTAGTGTTAACTCTGCATGTAGAAGTCTTTTCAGAGCTTTTCTCCCTTACTACCTGTCATTTTGCCGGCATGCTTGTTTTTTCAGAGTGGCTACTATAAGCATGACATGTATGAGGCTCGGATTATGTGGGTTGCTACCTTGTACATGACCCAGCACAGTACTACTATCTATGTATCATGCTTGCTGTGGGTCCATCACACCCGGACTGCTGATATCTGATTCCGAAGAAAAAGGATCCTCGCCATTAAGGCTGCAGAATTTCAGGGTCTGACTCGGGAGACTATCAGGGCTCGGCCAAGCTAGGAACCACATTTAGGGCTCGGGGACTTTTTACAGAACGAGCCAGGGCCCAGCTATCAACCACTGGGCATCGCTATCACTAGCTTCCTCGCATTTTCCCCGGTTGTTGAAAAGCACACAGAGATGACTGACCGGATTGAGCGGCTTTGAATGCGAGGCGCCCTTTATGACCGAAATCAAGGGACATTGCCAGCTGATTCTGTGGTAATGACCCCGCTAAGCTCACAATAAGAACGTGCACAGAACAACAGGTATGGCAACCGCAAAAAGTCCGAGGCGGCTGTGTACGATCCTCGTGGAGGGGCAAGAAGGGGGTGTAGGATTGCACGCAAAAGATATATACTTCGTCAGGGAGATTAAATAGAGCTACAAAAAAGCTATTTTGAAGTCTTGGCATCTTGAGACTGTCCGGATTTCTATGATTAGTTCCAATCCTGGGGATATTGCTATTCGAGTAGTGCGATAGTCTATGGATTCTGCAACCCCTTCTGCATCCCGCCATATTATCACCTCACCTCAATCATGCATAATCTCGACATAGTCTGAGGACTCCAAGGAACAACCCACTCACAATTGCATTTCTAGGTCATTGTGAAAGTTAAGTGAGGAACCAGTAGAGCTTTTTATTTATTTACTGAGAAGCCTACCAATCACTGTATTTCTAACCAAGCACACACGACAACAAGGTATAAAAAATAGGGCTTCCCGTCGGCGCAGCCGTGCCCAAACCACAATAATCAACGCGGATAATGCAACGAGGCCTGAGCGCATTGCTGCTTGTAGTGGAGAGAGGAAATAAGCCAAGGGGTGAGTGCGAGCGAGATGGGTGGGAAGACATTGAGGGTATCACCCACTTGAGCAAAGACTCATGCTTGTGTACATCTCAAGACTTCTGACATTAGCGAGGCCACGTACTACGGGAGGATGTCTACATATGACTACGTATCAAATGAAGGTTACCTAACGCTATCTAAATGCTTCCCCACTTAAGACATACTACCGGCAGAACAAAAACCCCCACCAGTAACGTAGCGATCATTCTACATTCGCCCCAGATTCAACCTCCTCCAACCATTTGCATCGGATCGGATGTGGTCATAGACAGGCACCCAGGGTAATGTGCCTTTCCGCTACCTAGTGGGATATTTTGGTCTGGAGATCTGATTGTAGGGCGTACGTCCATAGCCGTTGTGTGACTGCGAGTTGCCCATTATGCTGATGACTTACGCAGACAAGCTTCTGCGTAAGCGGGGAATTCTCCAACATCCCAGGCTACTATTCGCTAGCAAATCCTAGAGGTCCACCCTGATGCTGACAGAGCGGTATAATCTAGCCGTCTTCGGATAGTCTGGGTTGAGACCATGGCCTGTACTCCACCCCAGGTGAAATACACCAGAGACCTAAAACAGGGAGGCTGGACGCAACCACAGGACTGCTGATATTGTGTCATAGACAACAGAGCATCATTGAGGAGGCTGGGAAAGATGATGTGAGAAGGTCGTGTCTATCATCTGGCAGGTGGTAGAGAAAAAAGCTTGACTCCATGGTTCTGCCATATATACATCGTTTCTCAGCCACCATGTATAACCCTATCCCATAACATCGGTAGCCAATCGCCCAGATCCCACCCCGTCATTCGAATGCTGCGCTTATTTCTGCATACCGCCGCGCTCCTCTCGGCGCTCCCCGCGACCCTCGGACAGACTTCCACCGACTGCAACCCCCTCAACAAAACCTGCCCGTCCGACACGGGCTCAACCCAAAGCACGTTCCACTATGACTTCGTGCAGAGCTCCGACACTCTGTCGGAATGGTCGACGCTCTCGGGGAGCCCAACGGTCGGCGACGAGGGCGTCGAGCTCACGATCAACGAGGAGGGCCAGGCACCCACAATCGCCACGTCGTTCTACATCTTCTTCGGCGAGATCAGTGTCGTCATGAAAGCCTCCGCCGGCACGGGGATCATCAGCAGTATTGTGCTGGAGTCGGATGATCTCGACGAGGTCGACTGGGTACGATCAAGTCCCCCTCTTTTTCTTGCTCTAACCACGCTGACAAGTTGTCCCCTGGGAGCAGGAAATCCTCGGCTCCTACACCACAGAGCTACAAACCGACTACTTCGGCAAGGGCGACTCCTCCACCTCCAACCGCTGGACCTGGGAGCCCGTCGACGACCCCCAGTCTACCTTCCACAACTACACCCTGACCTGGACGCCCGCGGCTCTCACCTGGAGCATCGACGGCACCGCCCAGCGCACGCTGACGTACAGCGACGCCGCGGACGGCACGCGCTACCCGCAGACCCCCGTGCGGGTCAAGATCGGGATCTGGGCCGGCGGCGATCCGAACAACAGCGCGGGGACGATATCCTGGGCCGGTGGGGAGACGAATTACTCTCAGGCTCCGTTCACGATGATCGTGCAGAGTGTGGATATCGCGAGTTATTATCCCGCAGAGACGTATACGTACAGCGATAAGACTGGGGATTTCGAGAGTATCGTGATGGAGGGGGGCAGTGTGACGCGCTTGTCGGCGTCGGCGGCGGATTCCGGGTCGGGGTCCACTGCGACGGCGGGTGTGGCGCCTGCGACTGCTTCGATTCATTGGGCTGGGGCGGCCGGTCCGGTCTCTGCGTCTTCTGTGAGGGTGCTGGGGGTGTCGGTTTGGGTGTGGTTCCTAGGCTCAATGATGATGCGGATGCTAGGATAAAGCTGGACATTGAGGTATCGCACGATGTGCTGGATTTTCAAATGAAGAGAACAATGTGCCCGTAAGAGCCTATCAAACACTGCTCCCAGGTTGTACTCAAAAAGTATTCGCTTCGTAGGCTATGATAGAAAGAGGTAAAGCTATAAAGATGCCGCCTTCGCTGCTGCCCCCGCCGACGTTGATGTGGTAGCGGAACCAGCACTGTACCAGCTTGGTCGTCACCCCGGACGGGCGGCTCCATGGCGTCGGGGTGAAGGGGGCGCAGTCCTCGTCCAGGGCCAGCGCGTGGAAGGCGTGCTTGATCTGGTTGTGCAGCTCCGGCGTCGTGTATTTTCAGCTAGTCCTGCGGTAAGAATAGCCGACCGCGCCGGACGTGTTCCCCTTCCTGCTATGGCGCGTCTAAGAGACAACATCGGCTCGAAAGGAGTCAAAGACCACCTGACTAGTTCTTGACTGCCCTAGAGCTTTTTGCATTACAACATTCCGTACTCCCTTAGCACCTCCAGGACTTTTCTAAGCCCCCTGATTTAAGCAGAGCCTCTGTGAGATATATCGTCGCTTGGGCATAATGCCAAAGACATATCAGAGCATATCTAGGGGCTGGAGGTGTTTATTTCCCACCCCTGATTATGTTTATGTGTCAAGCTAAGTAGGGTTCATGCCGGGCTCATTTTAATCACGTGTGAATCTCAAAAATCAGAAATCTTTGAAATCTAGAGACGTCATGAAAATTCATTTGGATAACATCACAAAGGGTATCAATGAACAAGAAATGGGGCTTCAGGCAGCTCTTCATATTGAGAGGTAATGCTAATCCCTCGTTATGCCGGTCAACAGCGCATTAGAGCCGTTGAGCACCCCAGCATCAGCCACGATCTTCATCCATTCCGTGCATTCGTCCTGTTCAGCTCGACTTTCAGAGTCGCCCGACCCTACAACATAAGACACTCCATCGTCATGAGCCTTGTCACCGATCATCGACATTGTCCGGCTTGCAAGGGCCAGAAAGATGTCCCGGTACGGCGCCGCAACATCCCACCGTTCCGCCATGATCACCAGTGCAATCGTGCAATCGTTACAGGTGCTGTTTACCTGCGCGTGACCTGATATCTCTCGCGCTGCGGGCGAGGTCCATAGGCAGTGGAGATATGTCAAGCCCGCCAGGAACAGCTCATGTAGTGCAGCCCAGGTACAGCTCGTCGGCTTCCCTAGGAACTGGCCACGGTAGCTCTGGCAGATGTTTTCTGCGGCGCGATGACATTCCAGGAAACCTCCTCGGTCGCCTTTCCCGACCGGTGGTCTAGGATCTGGGCGCGACAGAGCTGTAGGACTGTGTAATTGTACTCCAGGTCATACCAGTCTGCGCTCGTGAATAAGGCAAGGTCCTCATTGGTATGGGAGGGCGGCGTGGGCGGAAGCTCGGAGCGCCACTTCTCGATCTCAGCGCGGATGTTCGCAACGTCGGTCTGCTGGTCGTGATTGCCGGAGTAGATCGGGTCTGCCTTTGAGTACAGTCAGGTGTGGATGAGATTCAGAAGACGTCGCATGCGAAAGGTACAGATCGCTCTTGTCATGCTGGTGGGTGGCTCCTGCGGGCAGCTCCGGGGTGTGCCCATCAGCCCTGTGTTTGTGATGCACGTATCGTCAATGTCAATGGGATACTACACACGAGAGATAATTAGAGACAGCGCGTAGATGAAGCGTCTTTGGGTTGGTAATGTCAGTTATTTTGTTCGAACATACTTCAGCGTCAACCTCTTGATAAGGCACACTCAAAGGCCGGCCCAGCATGACAGCAGCCTGGGTCTCTATTACGTAGGCGCACCAGAACACTCGCTTGCGAAGTTCAATCCTAACCAAATCTTCTGCAGGAACTGAGAAGTGCTTGGTATGTCGATGATAGCCCAGGTCGATACACTGACGCAGCGCCAGACTGCCGAGCTTCCTGTTACGCCCATGAGCACACGCAATCTTCTTGCCCTTTTCGTCCATGTGGATTCGTACCAATGCGAAGTGCCCGTCGGAGATCTTACAGAGTAGATGGCGCAGCACAAGATGGCCTGCACCGCTTCGAGGTTGTCATGGATCAGGATATCATCGATATACATAAGTGCTGATGTGTACAGCCGCTAGTGATCAGTCAGTGAGCCTTTTCGTTCCGTTCATCAGGGTCGTCCGCTTACTTCCGCTGCAAATCCTAGGTGGGGCAGAAGCAAAGCCCCAACAGCATATACCTTACAGTGTGAGCAGCTTCTACCCCCATTCAATGACCATGATGCTATTGGGCCTTACCATGTTCAAGAAAAATAACGAGAGAGAGTCCGGACGAAGATCCCCAGGCCCTACTGACTCGCGCAGCAACATCGACTCCCATGTCCTAAAGGTGGGCTCATGTAGGACGGGGTAGTGTACATTCACATTCTGAAAATAAACATTACTGAGCTTGACAGCCGACTCGTGATCGGGTAACAGGCATGGGGACGGTAGCACAGAGACGCGATTATCTGCGTCATCAGCCACGGTACCCGTGGGAAGCTCAGAGGAAACCACCTGGCGAAGAGATGGACTGATCAAGCGCGAGAAGGCGAATATTGAAGACGAGCCCAGATATTGGGGCTCCGCTCCCGCCGCATTGAGACTCAGTAGGCCAATCTTCGCTTCCAGTTTGTCGACAGCGTCGTCTTGTTTCGAATCTTGCCTGGCCTTTTGGGAACTCAACTCATCACTGCGGTGAATATCAAAAATATTCATGTGATTCATCCGCGGGGAAATAGCAGGTGTTTTTTGTTTCTCAAGTGCATGCCGTTTGAACAGGTCGCTATTGACGAGATCAGGACGGCATTCCTTCAGTAGGCTCTCGAGAAACTCTACTCGTTTTTCGAGGATCTCAATGTAGTTTCGGGGCCGATATGTCCTCGTGATGGGGTCTTCCACGAGACAAACTGTTAAAGTGTCAGATTAAGCTTGATAAACCCCACTTTTGCAGTCGGAAGGAGCCGAGCGACCGGAAGGGATACCGACCGGATTCAGCACGCAGACAGTTGTTACACCCCGAGGGATTATTGTCGCACTTCCAGCCTATCGAGTTAGAAAAAAGCTGCTTGAGACATTGGGGTAGTAACTTAGGTCATGTAGTCCTCTGCTATTACCTTCCATTTCTTATCCTTGCATCTCACGCATGCGAGAAGTGCTCGGCAACCCGAGGGTCTCCGTGCAGCGGACCGGGTCAACGGGGTCTTCTGGCTCTTTTGGGGCGACATGGTACATATGTGGGCCCTTCAGCTGTCAATCTTGCTGAGCGTATGTGTTCAACTGAGGATGAAGCGAGGTCGGAGCGTTGGGGCAGGAAGGGTCAAGAAGTCCCGGTGAAGAAACGTCGCCCGCGAGGATCCTCCTGGAGTGGCGACGAAGAGATAAAAGATAAATGCCATTGCGCTGACTGGAAGGTTGGCCTGGACAGTCTCTGGCACCGATAGATATTAGTTGACCAGATTGAGCAAATCTCAGCTGAGACCCACCATATATTTATCAAGTACCCCGCACGCTAGACAGTCTACGGAAAGGTAGGCAACGGACCGAAGGATTTAGTGTTGATTGGCATCTGCCTCTTTGTTGGTATTCAAACCCATGGAGATTGTAGATCATGCGTATAGTGCACCCATGTTTGGTTACCTCAACTGTAGAAAACAAGACGACTGTCTATGGCATTCAGAATTGTGCATTCATTCAGATACGAGCGACGACCGCAGCTGATGCTTTGCAGCCTTCCCTTAACCGCGCAGCCCTTTCCACGGTGATTTGGAAAACCCCAGGGAGCTGCGACTCAGCCCACGACCTCCCTGCCATCAACTTGACCAAGCCTGCTGCAGTGGTGAAGATACGAGCCATGCCACTGATGATGTTGCAAAGGTAATTGTCAGCGTAGCTTCACTTTAGGGGAGATGCATGGACCTACTGTCCGTTGTGACCAGCACAAACCCACTGACCCGCAAGCCCTGGCAGCTCTCCGACAAATGGCACTCCGTCGGCGCTCTGGTCTCCACTTAGCTCTGGTCCTAACAATCCACATCGAGCATAATTGCGTTCTTACCATTCCCATGATACCACTCCAAGCATGCGTGTAAGGCTCTTCCTGTTGCAATTCATCGGCAGACCATCCCTTCACTTCGCCGACAGCGAACGCTTGAACAGCCTTATTGATTGCGTCATGTCCGGTCATACCATCATCAATGCATCGCTCCGGATTCTGGTCTAGCCACTTCATAAACTCCCCTTGGCCTGGGTTGCTGCCGCCAAACAGAACGGCGCCATCACCATTCAGGCGGGGATTAATGCTAATCAGGTCGTCCTGCCCAAGGAGAATTCCATAAGAGTTCTTGAACCCTGCAAAGTCTGTAGCGGTCTCAGGGATCGTGACTCGGTTGCACATCTGAGGACGTGGCGTTATCAAGCCCCGCAGAGACGGCTCTAGAGCTGAACTATACGCATTGGTAGCATGGACGACCTGTGCGCACTCAATGTCACCGCGTTCGGTTTTCACGATCCAATAGCCAGCCTTCGTTGGAGAAGGGACGATGGCGGTGGCTCTGGTGTTGGTTTGAAGGTTCACGCCTCTCCTGATATTCTCTCGCATCACATGGGCCGCCAGTTTCCAAGGGTGCAGGGTGGATGCCGGCCACGCGTAACAAGCTTGTGCATTTGTCATTTGTGAGATCTGGTATACTGTTAATACTGCCCTGAAGACGGGATGGAGAGCTTGTGCGAACCTCCGCTGCTTCTTGGGGGTCGTGGGTCACTTTGATGTGATCGACCTTCCCTCCGGCGGCTTTGTACCGCTCAAAGATTGTGCGGGCTTTGCGCGCGGCTTCGGGCGTAATGGGAACGTCCAACGTCGGTCCAGTCCAGTGTTCGCACTCGACATTGTTTTTCTCAATATAGTGTACTACCTCGGACCATGTCTGCTGTTCATTCTGCAGGATCTACACATTTCGCGATCAGCGCCCGTTACGTCGGTACAGCACTTAGAGGATCCCGGTACCTTCATGGCCTGCTCGGTCCCAAACTGTCGCTCGTACTCAACAAATCCTCGCCACTGATCGGGCTTGCAGTGACCAGCGTTGCGACCTGTAGCACCGGAGCAGAACAAGCGAGCCTCGATGACCACAATTTTCTTCGTTGGCCAGGTTTCTGTGAGATGTTTGGCAATCACGGTTCCGGACATCTGGATTCAGCGCTTAGCTACCGTACCTATGCAATAATCTACAGACACCTGGAATTGCCACTCACGCCCGATCCAATAATCACGACATCTGCAGACTGCGGCAATTCTGGCGCGGTTCGATGGTTCAGCAGCGGATCTCCCTGAACCGATCCCAGCCAGTGGGAAATGGAGTACCCGGCCGGTTTGGGGAAGCCGAATCTCTGGCAGTCACGTTGTTTCATCTTGTCGAGTTTCATCGGTTTCTGGGTCCGAACCAGCGCAAAAGGGGGCAATCTCGGGAAGGCGAGTTCTATTTATACGTGGTTCGGACTTAGCGAGTAGCGTGCGGTCGGCCGTGGGGTTGGGATGAGGTGATATCGGAATCTACACCGAACAAGCAAATATGGGCGGAAATTCCCGTCAATCAACTGGGCGAAGGGAATCTTACCAGCATTAACTGGTTTTCAGAGATATATATACATTTCAGAGGCTAATAATTATACGTCTTAGCTAGGATTTAGTAAGATTGTTTTACAGTATCCATAACAGTTTTGTTGCGATAACACTTGTCTAGGAATAATTACACTATTGCTTGGAAAATCGCCCGTGGCCAAAGATGGTGCGCATAATGCGCAGAGCCTTTTGGCAAGGGACTGCAACTAAATGGCACCGGCCCGATTGACGGCTGCGTTCCCCTCTCAACCAGCGGGACTTTCCACCAATCTTATCGCCTTATCGCCTCGGATAAATCGAACTATACTAGATGTGAGTACGTGAGGTGGGCTTTTATCACCATCCCTGTCACCTTTGGATGGCCGGTTCCCTATAAGTTCAGAATCGGCAGCATGGATGGAAAATCCTCAACATGCATTGACTCTTTTCTTCCTCCCTTAAAACCATCTCACAATGCCTTCGTCCGCATTCAATGGCAGTACCGGCAGTCACACCCTCATGTGGCCCCCCGGCACATCGTGCCTTGCCGATATCTCGCCGTCTACGGGGGATGCCATCATCAACCTGCAACCACGACCCTCCGACGACCCCAACGATCCCCTCAATTGGACCCCGGGGCGCAAGTACTGGAACATGGGACTTGTCTGTTTCTACGTGGCGATGGTCGCAGAATTCATCAACGCCAGTACGCCCACCTGGGGCCCCATGGAGTCCCAGCTCGGGTTCAGCGATGAGATCATGAATGACAGCTATGCGGCTGGGTGTGCAGGGTTGGCCGTTGGCTCCCTCGTCTTGATCCCGTTTGCGCTCAAGTTCGGCCGTCGACCCTTGTATCTCTTCAGCACGGTGGTTCAGTTCGGGATCTGCATCTGGTCGGCCAAGATCCAGACGGTGGGGGACCTCATGGCCGTCAACGTGATCCAGTGCTTCTTCGCGAGTCTGGCCGAGGCCATCGTGCAGATGACCATCGCGGATCTGTTCTTTGTGCACCAACGGGGCAGGATGAATGCGCTGTATGTCTGGACGTGGCTGCTCTCCACCTACCTCGGCATTCTCGTGGCTGGGTTCGTCGCTGATGGTCTGGGGTGGCGATGGATCTGGTGGCTGAATGCTATTATTTGCGGGGTGACGATATTTGTTGTCGCGTTTGGGTATGAAGAGACCAAGTTCTGCCCCCGGCCAGTTGAGTCCGCCATGACGAATCTGCACCCGGTCCTCTCGGATGAGAACACATCGGGTGCAATGAAATTTCGCAACCACGACACGGGAGAGGACGGGGCAAAGAATCTCAACGATAAATCAGCCACGCAAAGAAGCCAGAGCGACGCGGAGAAAAGTGCTCGCGAACTAGGCTCAGTGGAAGCCGCAGAAGACAGCCGGCGCGAGACCACCCCACGGCCCGCTCTCAACCCTAACATCCCCATGAAGACATACTGGCAACGACTTGCCCTGATCACCCCAACGACCTCCTCTGGCGCCGCGCATGACACTTTCTTCCAACACATGTTTCAACCGCTCGTGATCCTGACGACAATCCCGGCCATCGCGTGGACGGCACTAGTGTACGGGATCTTGGTGGCCCTGGGCGATGTCATGTCGACCACGATGTCCACCTACCTACCCCAGGCGCCCTACAACTTCTCCACCTACGAGGTCGGTCTCATGAGTCTGCCGCGGATGATCGGCGTCACGATCGGGGCCATCATCGTCGGCCCGCTGAGCGACTGGTGGATTGTCTATCTCGCTCGCCGCCGGCACGGCATCTTCCAACCCGAGACGCGGCTGTGGTGCATGATCCCCTTCCTCCCCTTCGTCGTGGTCGGGGCCGTCCTCTTCGCCATCGGGCTCAGTGACCACCGACCGTGGCCGGTGATTGCCGTGGGACTGGCCTTGTACAACATCGGCGTCACCCCGATCAACACTCTCACCATCACCTACCTGACCGATTCGTATAGAGAGGTAAGTGACATCCCAGACACCCCAGAGGTATATCATTCCCTTCCACTCTTTACTGACCCTCAATGCAGATCATCGGCGACGCCCTGGTGGGCGTAACCCTCACGCGCAACACGTTCAGCACGGTGTTCATCTTCGCGCTCTCGCCGTGGGTCGCGAGAGTGGGGCTCAAGGATACGTTCGTGACAATCCTAGTCCTCGCCGTCGCGATCCTGTTGGCCTTCGTGGTGTTTCTTCGGTATGGCAAATCGCTTCGGGGCTTTTCGGCTTCGCGCTATCTCTATTATGCCGCTCGGCAGTACAAGGAGAGATCGGGTTAAAGAAAAAAAAGAGGTGTAACTTAAATTCAAAGAAAGATTACCAGCCTACATTCAGTATCACTTATTACACTGTTCAGCTAAGGCTCACCATTCTTAGATATTGTCTATATTTGTTATAGAAGAGAAATGTGTTGCAGGTACGTGAAACACGTATATTCTGCAATATAAGACCACCTGCAGAATTAGCCAAAACCTACTAAACCAACTAGTAGGTATCACATATGCTCAGCTTGCCCGGAACATTTTTACCGCCGATTCTCTTTTGGTGTGAGTCACGTAGCGTGCTGTTTCACCGGTGAACATCATGTCTTGCTGAATGATACAACAGTACAGCACCGTCACTACTTTAGGCTTTACTTGGATGCGATTAAGTATTATGGCATCGCTGTCTATCAAAGATTGCCCTGTTCAACAAAGCAGCCATGGAACCAGGGGCGCGGACATGATCTTTATTTTCGCCCCAGGTGGCTGCCAAGTGCCGCAGCGTATTCATGCTCAAGAAAGGAGGTCTCATACCATCCATCCACTTTTAGTGCGAAAGAAACTCAAGGTTTCTGACATTCTTAATGAACTGGGCCACACCCGCCTACCTTCCCACTTCCGTCGAGCATATTCTCTACATTTCTTTCTCTCGTCGCCCGTGTTTCCTATTAGTGTACGATACCTACCATCTTTATCCTTTTGAAGAACAACCTAATATGTTTTGCTATGCTGAGCATTAAGATCCTATGCGAGGGAATGATTCACGCACTCTTCTTACGTGGGCTTTGCCTTTCTCCATGCGGCAATGGGCTTGACGCGACTCCTGCAGACAGAGAAGTGCTCCAAAATCTAACATGGAGGAGACTATTGTTGAGCATAGTAGGACAGGTTCAGTCATTGCAATGATGTGTGAGGATGTGCCCTGAAAGAGAGTAGTATCTCTGCGCAAGGAGATCCCGCCTGCGTGATGTAGATGGTGTGGCTGGCGACATTTTATAGGTAGGGAGTTCCGACCTTCATACTTCTTAGATCGTAGTTTTTTCGTCTGCCTGCCATGTTGAGGCAGACTAAGGGGAAACCTCCCTCGAAGAAATATGCCGGTGGTGCTCAGGAAAAAGCCGAGATTTCCCGTGGGGCTCGGCAGAAACGAAACCCTTCTCAGCTTGAGACCCGCATGCGCAGTAGGGAAACCAGACGGAGAGATCCTGTAGAGACTATCTACCTTTTCTATATGTACGTCTCGAGATGAGCAAAAGTTTGCGGTGGGGCTGCCACCTCCATACCAACCTCGGAATCTCGAACCTTATAATCCACTTCGAATCCACCCGGGCACCCCTGAATTTGGCTATTATGAACAAGACCGTTGGAGTGGTACTGTTCCTGTATGACGCCAAAGCCTAATGCCTGAAAAGTATGATCTATCGATACACATCTATTGAAGGGCGACGGCGAGTACAAGATATTGGAATGGTATCAGCATGAATGCAATGCTAGGAGTGAGAAAAGGAATATACATCCAGTCGGCGAGCCTGGAGCCTAAAGCACCTGGAGAACATTCACTCATGAGATCCAAAGCAAGCGAAACCAACGCAAATCATGCCAATGAGGAGTGATAAAGCTGGGGCTGCGTCTGACTATGTGCTAGCACCCTGCCCTTTCCCCCAACCTCGTTCTCAGACGCAACGGAAGCTCTCGGCCAACGAGGTATTACCGCCGATGTAGGTAGCCTGAGCAGGATATGGGCACAGAATGCGATGAGGCGCATGCGGCAGGTCCGGGTATTCCACGGGTAGGGTTTCCGGGACAGTGCCATTCTCGACCCAGCGTCGCAGCGCCTGCAGGACGGTGGTCGGCTGTCCACCAAGGCCGCCCGAGCAATGGCCCAATCCAGGCGATTCGAAAAACCGCCAAAATTCATGGATGTCGGGGAACCGCGCTTGCACCTCCTCGTACAGAAACTCGGTGCCCTTGGTAGGAATTTGAGGATCGGCCTGTTCGAAGGTGAGTATTTAGAGTCAAGGGAAGGTTCAACTGGGGAAGGACGGTGACAGCGGGACCAGATGGGTGCGTACCATGCCATGGTAGGTGATGAGTTTGCCGCCCGCGGCCTTGAATGCGGATAAGTCTGGATCGGCTGCATTCAATGCGTCGGCATATTCTTGGGTGGCAAGGTGGAAAAACTCCTGATACTGCTCGTGGCTCATCCCGAAGGAGTCAAAACTGGCATTCTTGGCCACAAAGAGATTGAACCACTCGTCCTTTAGGACGCTGATATTGAACCCTGGGATTGACCCAAAGGTGCTACCAATGTCAGACCCCGGGTTGTACCCAAACCAGAGTTGGTGACCGTCCGTGGTCTGCGCGCCCGACCATGCAGCATCGGCGATGAGCGCGGCACCCGGGCTGAGTGCCATGGTCCGGTTTATGGTCGCACACGAGAAGGTCTTGTTCACCGCGGTGTAGGGATTGTAGTTGCAGGCGGTCATATTTGAGATCAGTCCATCCACTACCCCATCAAGGGGATCACAGGCGGCGATGGCCTCGCTGGTAAGGAAGTCAAGCTCGCAGACTAGCGGACTCACGTTGTGCCAGATGCGCATAAAGAGAGGATAGTAGAGTGAGGAGGTAAATTTAGTCCAGGATTGCGCAGGTGCCGAGGCTGCAATCCCATCATAGGCACTCGGGTATCGCTCAGCAAGCATTAGTCCCTGTCGGCCCCCCTGAGAGCAACCGCTCCAGTAAGAGTATTCCGGGGCGCGACCATAAAAGCTACGCACCAAGCTCTTCCCAATAAGGGCTTGATCGTTATAGGCCCGCGATCCGAAATTGTTCAGCGCGACGTAATCGATATTCCCAGGGCTGGTAAGCGCCCATTCAGTCGGACCAGTTGTGTCGATACCCAGTCCAGCATCAGTTGTAGTTGTAGCATAGCCTTCCCCCAGCGCTCCTCCCATAAACGTGTCTGACAGCAACCATCGGCCAGCAGCCCATCCGCCGCCCCCTGTTGCCTGTAGACGGCCGTTCCACTGCTCCGGCGACGGGAGCCAGGTTTCGACCGTGATTCGGTCATCATATCCGGGATGGGTGTAGGTTACTGTGATGTTACAGAACCTGGCATTGTCCAGACTAACAGCACCGCCATTGTAGTTGAAATCGGCAAAGATATATGTGCTATAATTGGTGACCCAGGAAGCGGAGAGAGAAAGAATTTCAGCCCCGAACACAGACGGTGTCTGAATGGCCGTTGGAGAGCAAATACTGGAGTTCATCATGGCCAGTACTGGACAACAAAGTACAGGAAATGTGAGGGAGAGAAATCAGAATGAATGAGTGAGACAAAAGTACCGTACCTTCTCTCTCCCAACTGTACCTTTTATATCTTTCAATTGTGTGCAGTGCCCGATATCATAAGACGTATTTCGCATAATATAAGACCTTCTGAGTGCCAGGTGGAGCCCCAAGCCTGCCCGAAAAGGGAAGTTCGCTTTCGGGTTTGGCTTTGCCAAATTTCCCCAATAGAACAACAACTTCCACGCCCCACTTGATATGTTCTGGAACCCATTTAGGGCCAGCCATGGGACAACCACGGCCGATCAAATCTTCTGATCCTTAGTATTTTCCGCTTATCCACAACCGCCGCCTGCCTGAGGCTGTATGTCTTGGACACTTCCATAGCAATATCCTTAGCATCTGCAAAATTCCTAACGAGCCTAAGGATCTCGAGACGCCAGCCTTCAACGTAGTTTCTTTTTCTTGTTCTCCGATACCCTGGTTAAGTATAACCCTCCGGCTTGGGATCATTCCACCCCTTACAAGAATCGTACACAGCCTCCTCGAGCCTCAGAAGGTTGGTCCTATTCCCCCCTATGCTGTGGTCAGCGTCGTCCTCCTCGTTATAGGTCTTACTAACTACTAACTATAACATTTAATTAATATGGAATTAGTTTTATATATAACGTTATGCCAATCAACAATTTTACTGTTACTTGTTGAACTGATTTATGTAGAAACGGAAGTGATATTCTCGATTCTTTTTTTTTATTATCCTTTCTTTTTGATTCTGCTAGAGCTAAAGTTTATGATCGGCAACGCCCTGGTATGGATAATCATGTATAACATATCCAGAACAGCCCTTATTCTATACTTATACTGTGGTTTATCAAAGTTAGACCCAGAATTATCTGATGAATGGACTTACTTATCGCTGTTACAATGTTCGTTTAGTTTTTGAGTTTTTCTCCTAGTATAGCAAGGCGCTTTGCGGCCTTTCAACTTCGCGCTAACTGTATTGTACTGCTTGATAGTGCAGGAACAAGAATTAGATCGGAGGAGATAAACGCTGTCAATCAAACTCATGAATAGTCTATACTACAAACTGCATTGCTTATAGACTGATAATCACTTAAGACGGACGACGGAGACCGGCGTCTGATTTCCGCAGCCATAAGCTTCGCTCGTTGGATCCCAGAGATTTCTTCGATGGCTTTCATCTTCTGTATGACCCAATCGTGCAAAGCATCACTGCAACTGTGGGATGTCCCTGCAAGATAGAGCGGCCACAGCAGAGGCATAATGGAAGCAGCGCGTAGATCCCGCGGTTTGCCTGCCTTTTCGCGGGCAAGGAAATATTGAACGCTATAGCATATATCCTTGGAGAGCTCCTCGATTAGCGTGCTAGAAATATCGAGGAGGTGTCCGCATGGCTTGGGTAAGGGCTGCAATGCTGACAAGGAAGACGGCTGCTGGTGAAGTAACTGTTGCAACACCTCGACAACTGCCTGGTGGAGGAGGATGCGCGCGCAGCGCTGCAGATTCCATGTGTGGGCGACGTCGACGCTGGTGTACGCATCATACCGGCCCAGCCGACACACCCCTGCGTCCTGCACGTCGCTTTGGCGGGTGCAGGTCGTATACTCGTACTCTGCCGGGAGGGTTTCGGGCCAACGCTCCAGGTCTGTATCAACTGCCAGGATTGCGGAGACACAACGAAATAAATTCAGCGCGTCCATGCTACCTTCCTTGCAGGAGGCCAAAACGGCGCACGCATCGGCAACGAGCTCTGCGAGTTGGGAGGCGGGGGCTTCGTGCTCTGTCGCATAGTGTCTGGCTTCCTGCATCATCTTGAGCAACATGGCTGGTACCCGTAGCCCGCGCTGGAGGCAATTTATGAGCTTTTTGAAGGAGTTAGACAGACAAGGCATGGAACTTATGGATCCTCATTGGAGTTGACTCACGATCTCAGTACGCGCGTGGAGAAAGATGCCTCGACCGATCCTGTTGCGTAGCTGGCCGACGCCTCGGAGGTGTATCAATGCTACGGCACCGTTGACATGCCGGTCCCATGAGCCCACATTGCTATCACCATCCGGAGTGACAGTCTAGTTTAGTCAATAACCTGCATCAATAAGGCCAGAGCTACAGGAAGATTTACCTCGAACAAGGCCAAAAGTATTACGGCAACCAGCATCTGGTCGGATGCTGCGCTGCTGGGGTCCGCTAGCGCCGCACGCATATCACGAAGAGCGCGAGAAACCGCCCGGCTCGCGGCATGACCCAGCATGGGTGCATTCCGCACATGCGCCAGACTGGCCAGCCCCACGGCGACAATGAGATTAGCCAGGTATCCCGGCCCGGTTGCTCGCTTGTAGATGATGCCGAGACAGTCCGGGTGGCTTGGAGGTCGCCCAGGCTCGTGCACCACGTAATGGTGGAAGAAGAAATGCAGCGCCTGATCTTCCGGTGGAACCGTGACTGTGGGCCAAGGGTCATGGTCGGCCTTGCGGACTCCATGGGATAATGCAGAGATCCGCTCATTGTCAGGGAGTGAAGCACGGAGCGTGCTGTTCCCGGGAGCCGGGGAGAAGATTTTGCCCACCGTCTCGACAGTCTGATCTCGGAATGTCACATAGCTCTCAACATCCCGGTATCCGTCGCATCTAGCACCGGCCCTGAGACATTGGCGACATGCTGGTCGTGAAAAGTCGCACTTGAAGCCCCAAAGACGCAATATGGTAAGCAGTAGTCGCCGATAACCAACCTGACGAGTCAAGACCTCAGACTAGGAGGTAAATACCTTTCTTCGTTTGACTCGACATTCCGAGCACGCTTTGCTGGGCTTGCCACGGTAGACCATGTTACGTCGCGCATAGTAGCATTTGCTAACGCAACAAGATGGTTCGAAGGCTTTGATTCTGCAGAGTATCCTACCACAGATTGCGACGCCCACTGCCACTGCTTTGTAATCTTCGCCGCTGCCGAATCCGGACTAGTCTGCGGTGCCGTCGAGCTGGTTACCGAATCGAGGCTAGCCTAGCCCTGCCTGGGGAAACGGACGGACGAAAGTATAGTACCCAAAGTACCGTCTTTGGGGAGAACAAGCCAACCTTGAAGACATAGTGAGTGTCTGTAGAGCTCATCGACAAGATCCACATCTTCGAGCTGCCTACCACTTGCGGTAGGGCGGAGATGGCTCCTCGTCCGGGGTGCACCGGCGGCTCGGAACACTGTATCGCTTGGAACAAACAAGTATAAAACGCCCCCTATGTCTTCCACCCAGGCTTCTTTCGACAGAGGTGAACCTGATCCACGGCATTCTTTTGTCACCACCTTTCTCTCTCATATAAATTATGTCGCAAGTTATCGCATTCGTGAGTGGAGCCACCGGCCAACAAGGCGGTGCCACAGCGCGTGAGCTCGTCACCACCGGAGTCCAGGTACACGCAATAGCCCGGAACCCATCCTCCACGTCTGCCGTGCAACTCCAGCGCCTTGGGGTGCGACTCTTCCCCGGCGACTACAACGATCTCTCCGCCCTGAAGGCAGCGATGGAAGGCGTGACGGCCGTCTTCCTGAACGTCTCGCCCACGCTGCCCGACACCCAAAGCGAGGTGGTCCACGCCAGAAATATCCTCGACGCGGCGATCGCATCCGGCACCGTGACCAGCATCGTCTACTCGAGCGTGACGATGACCGGACAGCACGAATCGTTCCCCAACTGGGGCCCCGCGTACCCGCTGCGGTGGTACTGGGAGAACAAAGCCGCCATCGAGGCCATGGTGCGCGCCTCGGGACTGAAATACTGGACGATCCTGCGGCCCGCCTTCCTCATGTACAACTACCACGCGCCGACGGCGGCGTACATGTTCCCGGAACTGATCCAGCACCGGGCCTTTCGGACGGCCTACAAGCCCGAGACGGCGATGACGGTGCTGGCCGCCGAGGACGTGGGCAGGTTCGCCGCGGCGGCCCTCACCGACCCGCGCGCCTTCCACACCCACGAGATCGATTTGGGGGTGGAATCGCTCACGCCGGCGCAGATCGTGCGGGAGCTGCGCCGGGTCAGCGGAGTTGATCTTGGCTTGCAATTCTACAGTGAGGAGGAAGCGAAGGCGCTTGCAGCGACCGATCCTAGAATGTATGCCCAACTGTGGACGAATGAGGTGGGCTATCAGGTCGATTTCGAGGCCCTCAAGAAGTACTCGATCCGCTTGACCGGGTTCGCGGACTACCTTGACAAACATCGCGACGAGGTTCACGAGATGTTCAAGTGAATGTGTTATCATTCTATCCGTTGACTATGAGGGGCAGTGGTGGATCGATGGGAGCGTAAGACAGCGACTTTCACGTGACCGGAGGGACAGAACCCTCTTCGTGTGATTAGGAGCATCACTCGTGTTGGTAGTCGGGAGATACTTCGGTTTTCTTTTTCTTTTTTTTTTTCTTTTTCAGAAGTGTTTCGTCTGAATCAGTTCCAACCATATCTCCTAGCACAACAGGTCCACTACAGTGTCGTGTCGATTTTACTTAGGTGAACGGAGTGATTATAGGATCAAGGACAAGTTTTAGTCTAACCTCAGCATGGAGAAAGTGGTAAAGCAAACAAGGATTCTCTATTCTAGTCTATCATCTAGAGGTCTATAAACAGTTCGTATCGCAAGTATAGTTCATAAAGTGCATCATGGCCTGCCCCGCGGGCCTTCTACTTCATCGAAAACGCGATCCCGCCGGACAGCATCGCTAGGATGCTCAATTCGGGCGGGAGCCTTCGCCCAAGAATGGTTTTCCGGGCTTAGCCCAAGGTGAGAGTGATGCCGGACGAGGTCGAGCAGCTGTTGGTATCGGTATCATCGGGCTGCTGGTACGAGGCGGAGCAATCCGAGTCGCCGGCGGAGCAGGTGACGGAGGTGCAGCTCGAGTCCGAGGGGCTAGCGGAGAAGCCCGCGGTGACGAAGGCGGAGTCCTTGTCCAGGTTAATGGAGGACAGGTCCCAGTAGAGAGTGTCGCCGTCGCTGGTGTACTCGAACTGCAGGACGCTACTCTCGTCCGTGGTAGTGGACAGCTTGATCGAGATGCCGCCGTCGGAGGTTTTCTGCCAGTCCTCAGAGTAGCTGCCGCCGCCGGAGGACAGGGACTGCATGCTGCTGGAGCCGGTGGTGGTGGCGGTGGACCAGAGGTAGACGGTGCTGTTCATGTTGTTGACGATGGAGACACTGCCGCCGCCGCTGGAGGAAGACGAGGAGCTGGCGCTAGCGCTGCTGCTGCTCGAGGTGGCGGTTGCGGAGCTGGTGGTGCTCGACTGCAACGGCTGGGGAAGCGCGGAGGCCGCGACAGCGAAGGTGGCAGCAAGAGAGAGCTTGGTGAACATCATTTTGAATGATTGAAGTGTTGTTTTGGTTGAATAAGGACTGATTTTGGAGGAATGTGATGTAATGAAGAGAGGGTAGTTCTGATCAACAGACGATTGAAGACGAAAGGAATGCACGAGGATCAACCTCAATAGCGAAAGTAGAAGAGATGGTAGAGAACCTTCAAAGGAGAGGATGGTTGTGATAGAGCAGATTGCAGTGCAACGAAGGGCAGCTTTATACCTATCTCATGGTGGAGACCGGAAACGAAGGCGGCTGCGTCAGCCGCGATGTGTCAGCTGTCTCCAGAGGCGACATGTAAAACAAAAGTGTTAAACATGTCAAAGTTTAACGCCAGGAACAAAATCTAGATCATGTCACCCACGGTTGCCTGGCTCAGCGGCGAATCATGGCGGGGTTTTTGTGCAAGGTACACCAGGAACACATGTGTGTTCCTGAGGCCCTGGAGTCAAAGAGCGAAAAAACCCCGCATGTGGGGGTCAGGAACTGAGACCAGTGGACCACAGACTGGCGTATTTAGTGGTTCTAGGCCCTCCATCGGTTCATCCAGACATTACGACAGCATTTGCCACCGACTCCAATGACGTTCTTTGGAACAGAGCCACCGCACCAGCAAGGAATTTCCTTGGGGACTCGCGGCACTTGGCCTCTCCGGCGCAGACTCGGTTTTCTGCCGGGGTAGGTCTGACGAGCACGTGACACACGTGATGCTTCCCACCCTTTTGATCTTTGATCTTTTACCGCCCTTCGTTTAGCCGAGGCTCTGCCGCACCATGGAAGGAAAGCAAACCAGACACACTAAGCAAACCAAGCAAACCGCCACCTGCGCTCTAATGCACCGCCTTCCTAACCACTCTTGCTCTTTCGTAGACATTGCCCCGAATGGTCAGGCCACGCCACCACCACCCCGCTGGCCACCTGGCACAATCTTGCGAGCAGAATGAGTAGACAACTGGGACCAACGGCGGTGTTAGCGGAGGGATGCAAACACCTTTCAAGCACTGCAATGGCGGTAAGTTGTATTCTGACCAACGTAGTTAACTCTCTTGAACCCTCCGCCTAAGTACTTGCGCGTATGTACATCTGGCTTTGTCTGTTTCAAATACACGTAAATCTTAAGTACTGTCTATACAAAGAGATCTGGGTAATGAGTATAATTACCATCTCTATTGACCCGGCGGCACGCCCCGTCTTGCCGCGGCATAAGGCTCAAAATGCGGATATGAAGAAGGTGCTAGGAACTCCTATCAGTTGTGTCCCTGCCACAAGTATCTCGATGAGTAGATCGTGTGTCAAAACGTGCTGAAGTTTATGTGCCTTGCAAAGGTCTGCAAGTCGTTACGTGGAGCCCTTTCCCCAAGAAGACCAAAGACAACAGAGAGTGCCAAGTAACAGTGCGGCGTCTTCGTTTCTTGATCCAAGATGATAGCGAAAGACGAGGAGATTTCGATACAGGCCCGTGCCATGCGGTCATACATGAGTAATTCTAGCAGCGATCGACTCATCTGTCGGCCGAGACACTCGTGCACACCGACTGAGCCCCATGTGAGTGTACTGATGCGGGTCTTGAGCTGCAGGCCAAAAACGCCGGTCTTCTGTGTTCTCTAGTCCAGCCAAGAGGTTAAACCAAGGCATTATGATTGCTTGCCCAGGAAAGTATCTGAAAAGGACGATCGGGACACATCCGGCGGCAGTCTCCCTGCTTTCAGCAGGCCACCCTTCGCGATCCCCTCCGCGGCACGGGCGTGGATACCCTCACCGCCGATCCTCCCCAGTTCCACAGATATCAAATCCACCGGGTACGACACGGTCGCATTCGAGCCCTACCGCACCCTCCGCCAGCTCCGCGGCCAAGACATCATCCCGCACAGGGACCGCTTCCAGGGCTTGCTTCCCCTGCTCCTGAAATGCGTGATTGGCCCTAACTCAACCAGAGTTCCATACGCAGCTGGAGCCCCTCCATGAGCAGTGCGCATGGTCCAGGCCAAACAGTCGATTGTACAGCAAACTTCTCGCCGCCGATCCCGCGCTGCCGTGGGAATTCTGCCTTCGAGACCGCCGCCTTGGAGTGCGAGCGGGGCTGGTTGCTGGATCCCTTCTTCCGCGCCCACTTCTCCCCGGTCATGGAGGGCATCCTGGAGCGGACGTGACGGCTCTGCGCTCTGATCCCTGCGGCGGTTCCCCTAGGGATCCACATCTGCTACAGGGAGGATCAGCACGTGCACTTCGTCGAGCCGGAGGACTTCGGGCTCGTGGTGGAGCTGGCGAAGCAAGTGGTGCAGCGGGGGTTCACCCGCGTGTCGTCGACGGGGAGCATATAGCGGTGCCGAAAAATCCGGGATGACTTCGCATATCATGAGCCGCTGAGGGGGTCCGGAGCCGAGAGAGGATACAAAGCTCTATCTCGGGGTGGTGCATGTTAACGACGCGGAGGCGACGCGCAGAAGGATCAATGCGGCGCAGTCAGTTGTGATGGACTTGTGGGGGGTGACGAGTGAGTTTGGTTTGGGGAGAACCCCCAGAAATGAGCTGAAGGGTATTCTGCAGATTTCAAAGGATGTTTCACGATCTGTAAGGTGATTTGTGGTTCTGATGTGCTGTTGTAGGGGTGAGATGTACCATATCTAGCGATCGGATCCCACGGCTATGCTTGCAATCCGACACCGACATGCTGAAATTTGCTTTCTTCAAGATCTGCGATGATCGAGTGTGTGAGTTTGGGCTCATTGAGAAAAGCTGAGATGAATTTTGCTTGTGCTACTGTTATGATTAGAAAAGACGAGAAATGCAACAATCAGCGTGATGTATAAGTCTGCGCCTCGATCCGCAAGCCGAAAGCCCAGAGAAGACAGGACACCTGCTTTACAAGGCCTGTGGACCGTGCGCGGCAAGTTGAGGTGAATTGAACTGACTACACCTTCGGCCAGGCATATGACGACGTGGCGAGAAATCGTCCCTGGTCCAAAAAATGGTGAGTGCCTCGCCTGGGCCAGAGCTTCCCCCAAGCCCCTCTTCCTCTCGCCCCCAATTCGGATGGCGTAGCCCCTCCTGACAATCATTCTTCAGATAAGTGTTGGCGACTACAAGTTCTGGAAGGATGTGTACGAATCCACACAGCCTGAATTTGGGGTTTTCCATATGACTGACTGATATTCCTGGGCGCGGAATCCCGCACATGATGGCGGTCATCTACAACAACCTGGAGGTCGGAAACCAGGATATTCTTCGGGAGTAGCTGTTGATCATTCTCCGGATGATGATAGGCCAACTCCGGCTACAACGCTTGCTCGGGCATATGGTTATTCCAGTATGTTTTTCATCTTCATCCCGCCCTTCGAGCTCCGCACTGAAAGGGCATGACTTACTCTCTTTCTCCCTGTGGCAGGTCATGATTATCTCCTATATGGGAAAGTCTGCACAGGCGATCGAGGCATGCTTCGATGGCGAACGCCTCGTCCTGGGCTGCACGGACCTCTACAGTATCCGCCACCAGAGCGCGACGGCGTTGAAGGATCTCGGAGGGTTGTACCTTGGTACTCCCATTGGGGATACCGCCTAGGCTGGCGGTACTTTTGGTTGGTTTACGGCGTTCGGGGCTGGTTGGGCAGTGTGGTTTCTGGAGTTCTGGCTTTCTTGCAGGGTGGGATTCAATTATGGGCACAGGAGAGTTTACTTACGTGCGATACCCCTTCTTCAAGATATCATCCTAGTCGCGCTTCTCACCCCACGCTTGCCGTCGCGACCAGGCTTTAAACTATAGGCGTCAGACAGGCAGTTCCTGCGGATCGACCCTTATGGTCGCGCAATCAGTAGTTCCTCCCTTCCACCTGCAATTTCAATAACCCACCTCAAACATAGTATCGCATGAGTTTCCGCGGCGGAAAAGGATCCGGGGAATCATGGGTAATTGCTGTCGAGCCGAACCCTACTCTGTAAACCTCATTCATTAGCACCTGGTGACCATCAGTTGCCAAAGCAGGCCCTACGGCCCGTAAAAGTTCTGGGGGGAATAATCCTGACGCATGGGAGGGGAAAATGTACCTTGCGACCTGCGCCAACCCCTTCCCCCGCTTGACGACCGAGACAGGCCGGATCTCCCACCGCTGGATGCCAGCAGCGGATAACGACCCGCTCAGCTTCCTGGCCGCCTCCTCGATCCGGCCATAGAGGATCTCCCCACAAGGCCACTCGCCTTCCCCCTCCCCCTCCTCGCTCCACTCAAAAGCCCCGCCTTCCGGCCTATACGCGAGGAACCTGCCCCGCGGCAGAATCTCCCATCCCTCCTCCGCAGATTTTAGACTCGGCGGATTGAGAACAATGTACACCCTTTCTAACCGTGAAAAGCACCACCAGATCGTCTCCAGCGCGCGGGGCTCCAACTGAAACAACATGCTGGAGATGGCGATGCGAGGGTGGTCCTTCCCGTCGTCACGGATGGACATCCTCTCCCTGGGCAGCTGCTCCGCCCGTCTGTCGAGCGGGTCCATGTAAAAGCATCTAAGTTCCGCCCCTTGGAGGTAAAGCATATCATAGTCCGGGTCGAAGTGGCGGTTTACGACGTGCGACCCGGTGCCGATGTCGGGGCGGAAGTGAACCTTGAGGCCGTGTTTGCGCGCCCACGAGCGCGCCGTGCCGTGCGCCTCCCTGTTGACGAGCAGATGGGGCAGTGGTGCGCTCACTGGGTCCGCGCGCGCGAAACCGGAATCTTCGTCACTATACTCACCTTTGCGGTACGGGAATAACACTCCTGGTCGGACTTGGTCGGGGAGGCTGAGGTGCCAGATGTGGTGGCGGAGCTCGGGGGGGAGTTGGAGGAATGGAGTGAATGTCATCATCCTTTTTCCTTGATAGTAGGCGAGAGATGGTGTTGTTGGGTATGTGATACCTGGTCGGTAGGTGCTTTGCTGCTGGTAAGTCAGGTTTCAGCTTCAGTCGGAGTTTCGAGGGGTTGCTCGGTGGTATTTATATTAATTGCTCAAGGATAGTAAGCGGGCTTATCTGATTCAGGAATAGCCTGTCTGAGTGACTCTTGTAAGTTGGGCAAAGGTACTTTCTGTTTAAGCCGGGCTTCGCCCGACTTCTGCGACAGCTAGGCTGCGATGCTTTGAAGTTAGTGGCCTCGTATGTTATCGTGGCTCCTTGAGTTAGTATCTTCTCCGCGGAAAGGTTCATTCAAGATATATACTCGTCCCGCTGGAGAATAACACCATCAAAAAGCGCCGCAATTTATATAGAAATTCCCGAAGCTCCACTATGCCAGTTAACACAGCCTATCAGCCTTCTCAGTTATCACTGGAATGTTTGCTACTTTGTAAGCGTAAAAGCTAAGTGCTGGAAGACAACGCACGAGCAGTCTCTTTATGCAAGCTGACTAAGCTATTCACCTTTTGTACAAGGCCACCTGCAAGCCCGATCGAGGACGAGTTATACCTAAGAATCAATTGTTGGAGAAGGACCTCTTTGTGGCTGCAGTCTTATACATCTTACGCAAGTATTCAGGCTGACGTATATAGACAGCTGGCTTGATCGTGTCGAGAGCCGGCGACGACGTGGCTGCAGTACAAGAGATACCTCAGTTGGCCCAGCAATACACCTTATCGTGGACCCTGCCTCAAATAATCCCACGCCTTCTGGTGATAGTCTCAACACCAAACTCGCGACGACAGACCATTCCCTCCACCAGAACGAACTGCAGTGGCAGCAAAAACTCTCTCGAACTCTCGGCCAACTTCCGCCGCCGCACCACTGCCTTGGCCCGCCCACGGAAAACTGCTGCCTAAGTAATACTCCGTAGCGCGGGCGCGCAGCCAAGCAGACGAGGAAAAATTGAATCGCACAATCAAAGTCTCGTTATCATTATTGCTCAATATTATACAAACGATATCACATATCCGCGACCGTTAAGCATTGTTCAAGTGGTATACGCCGAAGTTGCGCCCGTGCCCCAAAATTGTGAAAATGTCCCGACCGACGCATGAAGAACGAGTTAGTGGAGTGAAGATCTATTTGTTGGCCAAGATGTAGCTGCGGGGTGAGTTAGCTGAGAATTCTTCTTAAGCTCAAACAGAAAGCGAGGGGAAGTGTGAACATACTAGGCGTGGATGACACCAGGCAGCCAACCCAGGATGCAGAGACAGATGTTGATCAGCAGATCGCAGCTGCAGCCGGTGCGCATGAAGACGCCGACGAAGGGGAGGAAGAAGGCGATGATGATTTCACAGCAACCGCTGTGTGAAGGGTGTTAGCTTGACGATTTTCCTCTTATTGGGAATGCGACGGGGAGGGCGGCATGGGAACGTACACTGTATTGGCCATTGTGAGTGTTTAGAGATTTGGTGTTGATGGGATGGGTGGTTTAGTTTAGCTGAGGTATACTATTGAGGACTGAGTCTGTTTGTTCAAGGTGTAATAGTTGGAATGTTAGGAAGAGTCGAGGAGGAAGTGGTGTGGTGGAGGAGTTTAAAAGGACTTTCGGGGGAGAGCGAAATCGATGACATCAGGCGCGGGTGCATCATAGGGCTGAAAATGGAGCAGGTGTCCGCGACTCTCTCCATCAGACTAAATCAACGGCTCACCACCGACAACATGCTGCCATGGCCCAAGGGGATTTCCTGATAGCCTAAATGATTATGACACAACCAATGACGATCGTGCTTGGCAGTCTCGTGGGAGAATCTTTCCTTTCGCATAGGGCTGTACTCCAGTTTGCAGTCAAGAGTGCCAAGGCAACGGCCCGGGCTGGGTGGCTGAAATGATGTAATCCCCCCAACTGCGATGCGGTGCCTGGCCCGAGTCGATTTCGACTCCCTACATTTGGCTCAGGCGATCAGCGGAGTCTATTTAGAGAGTCAAGTACACAGAGGATAGATGATGTTGATTACATCTGTTTGTGATCATCGGTGTGAGGAAGTTAGGCAAAGGCACCCTGTTTGACCTTCCATTCTTGCGTGTTGTTTGATATACCCACAAGCATCAGCGGGTACGAGTTTGTGGCTCGGAGAGAACACCCCTGACACTATGCCACTGTTGAACCTGGTTTCACAGTCTCCAGGTGCTGATGTTGCTGTGTTAAAATGTTGTTCCAAATGCAGTGTTGGCTGGGCTGCGCCTCTGTCAAGGGGAATCGGTAGCGGCCAGCAGTGAATTACCCAAAATGCCTTAGAGGACTAGTAACACACCCCGGATAAGATGGGGAACAAGTGAATGTATGATAGTGGACGTGTCAGTGTGACCCGCTTGTTCTGAAAGACCTCTCCTCTACTTTACACCTGATGAACCTTGCCGTCTTCTCTTTCCCATTACCATGACAGAGTGTGTTCATGGACAGATCCAACTTGTGTCTTCAAGAAGAAAGGATCAAAGATACAGGTCAAGATGCAAGGCACACATATACTCAACCTCGTGAGGATTCTCATCCTAAGGTTGATGTTGACGCGCCCCTGCCTCAGAGCGAGCGCGATCGACCTCAACATTGACGATCATGGTGAGTACTCAAGAAGCTTCATCACGTCGACCCATTTGTCAGCACGCGGCTGACTCTTCAAACCACACCAGCAAGCATCAAACACGTCGCGAGCCAGCTCGCCTCGGATCTCGTGAGTTTCTACCGCGGCAACCACACCGGCGACGTGCCTGGCAACCTCCCCGATCCGTACTACTGGTGGGAGGCGGGCGCCTTCTTCGGCACGCTGGTCAACTACTGGAGCTACACCGGCGACGACACCTACAATGCAATCACCACGCAAGCCATCCTGCACCAGGCCGGGGAGAAGCGCGACTTCATGCCCTCCAACCAGACGCGCACCGAGGGGAACGACGACCAGGCCTTCTGGGCGTTCACCGCGCTGCAGGCGGCAGAAACCAACTACCCGAACCCCCCGGACGACCAGCCCTCGTGGCTGGCACTGGCGCAGGCGGTCTTCAACCAGCAGGCCGCGCGCTGGGACCCCACCAGATGCGGTGGAGGCTTGAAGTGGCAGATCTACGCCTTCAACCGTGGCTACACCTACCGCAACGCCATCTCCAACGGATGCTTCTTCAACATCGCCGCCCGACTGGCACGGTACACCGGAAACAGCACCTATGCGGACTGGGCCAACAAGGCATGGAACTGGGCCTCCGGGGTGGGACTGATTGGGCCCCGGTTCCAGGTCTACGACGGCACCAGCGAGGGGAACAACTGCTCGGATCTCAATCATGTCGAGTGGACGTACAACAATGGGGTGTTCCTGCATGGGGCGGCGCATATGTGGAACTACGTACGTTGTTTCTTTTGACCTGTTCTTTCTCTTTTCCGCCGACGCCAAGAACCAGAATTAGTCTTACTAACTACGCCGCATCTTGCAGACGAACGGCGACGAGACCTGGCGACACCGGATCATGGGACTGCTGGAGGCCCAGGATATCTTTCTCTCCGACAACGCGACAGCGCAAAACGTGTTCTACGAATCCGCGTGCGAGAACTGGGACACCTGCCAGGTAGATCAATTCTCCTTCAAGGCATATCTGTTCCGGTGGATGGCCGACACGGTCAAACTGGCGCCCTTCACGCACGATCTCATCCTGGGCCGTCTCCGACCGACCGCGCAGGCAGCCGCCGCCCACTGTGTGGGAGGCGCGACCGGGACGTACTGTGGAATGCAGTGGACAACGGGGGTATACGATGGGACCACAGGGGTGGGACAGCAGATGTCGGCGCTGGAAGCGATCCAGACCCTGCTCGTCGAGTCGGTGGCGGGGCCCCTTACTCACCAGACGGGGGGCTCCAGCAAGGGGGATGGGGCGGCGGGCACCGCAACCTCGGATAAGGCCAGGGACCCCAGTGCGCTCAGGCCCATCACGGCCGCCGACCGGGTGGGCGCCGCGGCCTTGACCGGGGTGGTCATCGCTTTGGTGGTGGGCACCGCATTCTTCATGAATGAGGCCTTGATGGTGAGCGATTGTGGTTTTCGGAGTGGATTTGTGTGGAGAGATTCGTGAGATGCTCGTGAGTGATGATTCAAGATTGTAGTACTGAATGACTTCGCTGGCGTGGTCCTCCATTAGCCGAGTTGCTCCCTACACCGTTATCACTCAACCTTTGAACTTCGGTCTCGCACACGAGCATTGTCATCTCGCTTATGTACGCTCTTGGAAGGTATCGAAAGATACTCAATCCAGAGATCGTTGTCATCAGACCAAAATTACCCAAATAGGCTATTATCGAGAGAAATCCCCAGATCAGTAGTGCAGATTGCATAATTAGGCGTGACAGGGTGGGGCAACTTGGACTCTAACCACCTACCACCATCCAACTATCTCCAACACAAGACCCTCCGGATTCCATCCATCCTCAATGCCAAGTGTACATGATTGACACAACTTCTGACCGACTGTTGGGACTGGCCCATCACCGCCAATCTTATCGGGCGAGTCTGGAAACTGACATAAGCGGAGATCGAGTTCTTATCTTGCACTAGTCCCGATGTGGCCAAAGATACGCCGCGTCGGTCCACCGGACCAATCAGGAGACAATTCTGGAAGGGAGGCAAATGCCGGGATCGGGATTGCTGATAATCTGCAGTGCGTGGAAACTCTCTGTGAAACAAAGAGGCGGGGAGAGATACCGTCTATCTGACTACTTAAATCCTCCGTCGCGCTGTTTTCACACTGCTCGATTGTCCTTCATTCATTTGGCTTAGCCGCGAAGCAGAGGGTTCGTCTGTTGCAATCCCGCAGACACAATGGCAGCCTCCGGTCCACACCCATTTGACCCCATCAGCCCGGCGGAAATCGTCCTCGCCACCAAGCTGGTCGAGGCTGCTTTCCCCGGCGTTAAGCTCCGGTACAAGAAGATTGATATCCAGGAGCCAATCAAGAGCGAGGTCGTCCCGTATATCGAGGCAGAGCGTCTGGGACAGCCA